AACCTTTATGAGTGGAGTTTCTTTACAAAAGATCATCAACATTTTTACCAAAATCCACCGGCCAGCTTCAGAGAGTAAAACAAGAAAAATGAAATCACCCGAACATCTCGGAAAACTTGTTCATAAGGGTTATCCGACCTGGTGATTACAAAACTCACATCTGCTTAGCAAGATAGCCTCGTATTCTAGGGTTGCGACAAGTAGAATTTGAGACAACAAAATTTTTTTACGATTTACCAGCCTTTCTACCTCCATTGGAATGATGCCTGTGACTACATTTTAGCGCTACGTAATCTAACAGAAAAAGTACTATCGAAGGGTCCTTGCTGGAGTCTACTAAGGGCAATGCGCGCTGCTTTACACATTCGCGAAAAGACGTCTACAGAAAGATTTGAGAATATTGAAATCGGAATATCAAGGAAAAGCTGTATATCGAAAGATTTGCCTTGATGAACTGAGCACAAAGCTCTCTTCGGATTCAGAATAGAATATGTTCATTCCGAAGGAAGTTACGGCGAGTAGAATTTAGAAACGCGTGATTTTTCCAAAAACCAACGCTTCTATCTCTTTTGGGAGACAGTCTGCAGCTACTCTCGAAGGCACGGTAACCTACAAGGACAGTACTATCAAACAATGCTTACTGGAATCTTTTATGTTACTCAGACGCTGCGTTACATCCTTGCGAAAAGACTTCCACAGAAAAAGTTTGAAAAAACTGGAAATGGAATATCGAGAGCATACTGTATATCAAAATATTTGCCTCGACGATCTGAACACAATGCTGTTTCTGGATTCGGAGTATATTCATTCCGAAGGAAGTTATGGCGCTGCGTACTCTGCGTGATTCGCATAATTTCGCGGATCCTGAAATACCGCGAACTTCCCGGATTATCGCGCACTTTGGCGGAAATCCCCGAATTCCGCAAAGTTCACGGAAATTTTGACATTCTGTGCGCGGTATTGTGATCTTGAGCAGATCTTAGAACAAATTCGATCAGAGTGGCTCTCTACTATGCTCCTATAGTATACTGTCTATGTGTCATCAGCGACAGATCAATGGTAATACTGTTATCAGCACACTAAATTCAACCAAAATTATAATCGATAATTCTGAAAACTAATATTGTATTCGGAATCCCCATGCTCGATTACCCCCTATGCAAACTCCCAGCCCCGTAGGTGAACTCTGCAAAAAAAATCGATAAAGATCGATAAAATTGATATCGATCGATGACGAAAAGTAGCCTATGACACCCGCCGGGGCCCGAAGTGCATGTGTGCCAAGTTTGGTCCGGATCGGTTCAGAAATGGAATTTTCCATTCGGAGCATACGTACAGACAAACAGACAAACAGACGTTCAGCTTCATATATGAGATGATGCGTCTCGCCGAGCTGAATCGAACGGTGTCCTCGGATTCAGAATTCGTCCATTCTGAAGCAAGATGTGGCTAAATTGACGATCATTCCGGCGCACTGCGGCGGAGTGTGGCACACTCTGCCGCACTCCGGCGCACTGTGGCGGAGTGTGGCAGAGTGCGCCACAGTCCGGCGACTTTTTTGACGAATTATGAGCGGTATTGTACATATGATGAGGACAAGATTTATGCAATTAAAATCATGGATGACCTATAGGCACCACGTCTGCGGTAGAATTGATAACAGCGCTACGTATAATCTACCATTAGCTAAAATATCCGAAATTATAGAAAAATTTTTGACTGTTTTACCAAAACTCAAACTTTTCTTCTCAAATGTTTTCTTCTACTGAGATCTATCATACTTGCATACGAGCGATTACTTTGTGTGTTTTGCCAACATTTGGCTCTGATAGACACTCCATTTATCTAAACAGCTATAATCGCCTTTTCCATGTGATTTTCTTTGGCAAAAAACTTACCGCTGTAATTCTTTAGTAATGATAAGTCAATTTTCAGTCGTTTTCTGTTATCTAGGACAATATTGAACGTTCTTATCTGTATAATTAGAAAACCATGAGAAGAACACTTTTGCTGTTGTTGTCGAGTATGACTCTCTTTTGCGAATCTTTATTTTGAGTCAATTTTTTGCGCCGTAGTGAGGTCATCTTATATATAAAGCTGAATGTCTGTTTGTCTGTCTGTATGTCTGTCTGTACGTATGTTCCGAATAGAAAATTCCATTTCTGAACCGATCGGGACCAAACTTAGCACACATACACTACGGGCCCCGGCGGGTGTCATAGGCTACTTTTCGTCATCGATCGATAACGAAAAGTGGACTGTGACACCCGCCGGGGCCCGAAGGGTATGTGTGCCAAGTTTGGTCCGGATCGGTTAAGAAATGGAATTTTCTATTTGGAACATACGGCGGAGCCGGGTAAGCCAGCTAGTATTTCCATATGCAAGATTTTCAGTTTGTAAAAATCTACCGTTATCAATTGCCTCAGAAGCGACATCGCTTTTTCTCGCAATAGAACGCACTCACAAAGTAATCGTTATCGATCAAACACAAGTGGTTTGGGCATTGTGTTTTCCTGGGTCTTTCTTGTTTCAGTGCATCAAAATCAAGGTAATTATACATGTGCGCTATTCCATTGTTGCGGATTACAAGGGTTTACCTTCTATTCGCCGCTCGCTTTTCCTGCTGAGCTCTTGCATCACCATATTTTCGTATGTTTCCTATTAGATTCCTTCTTACTGCATATCGTTTGGAATCAAGCATGGAAATTGAAACGAATTTTGTACATTCAAAGAAGGATGTAGGAGGTCACCAAAAAAATGGTGGTAAAAAATAGTGCAGCAACCGAATTAGCAAGAGTGTGGCAGCGTTAATGTTTCCAGCACCACCAACATTGAAGAAAAGCGGTTACCGGCGCCAGGGTTTTCAAGAATGGCAGGTGCAAGCAGTATGGAGCTTTCTCGACAGAACTTGACTAACTGCTTTAAGTCCCTTGCTGAATCAGCTCCGCACTTTTTTTGAAAATGTCAACGGGGACTAGAGTGTCAAACTAATGCCCTTGGAGCGCGAAGAAAAATTTTTTGAATTATATGCTTTCTGTTAATTTTACAAGTAGAATTTGTTTCTGTTACATACCTGCTTTGCGATAGGAATCTTCGAAGATTATTAACTCCGAGATGTGAGACATCGCCGTCAAGAGCAAGTGCCTGGCCTCAACAATGACGCTCGTAATTTAAAGCGATTACTTTAAGGAAAATTTTGACCCATTCGCCTCAGCTGCAAAAAGAGGCAACAGGCACAAAGTCGGCCACTGACTGCAAGCTTTCTTCAAGGTGGTGTTCACGCGAATGTAACCTGAAGGGCGGTGGAAACTGATTAGTGAGCCCTTAAGCAGGTCTCGGCACAACTTCATTCCTGACTTTTTTGCTTGACCTGGCCTATCCGCTACACTGAGTCCAAAACAATTGACATCACGCAAAATCGGCGAGAAACATGCGTTTTTAACTGTACGACTTATATCTAGACCATGGAGCGGTTTCCGTCAACGCTAAAACTTGGAGTTGCAGCAGGATCCTATCAACTCAACTGTAAAGACATGCGCACTTTAGCTTGCGAATCAAATTTACAGGTGGCAGAGTTGTTCCCCCTAGTGTTTCCTGACTTTGGAAAAATGATTCGATTCGGGTATTATGTTTTACTTAAGTACAGTTACTATACCGCCAGGAGAATGCGAGTAACAACGTGTTTAGTCTGATAGATACGATTTTGGTATTTTTTATATTCTCGGTGCATGGGCGTTTGCGCTCTACTTGGACAGTGCCTTAGTTTTGATCCCTGAACAATTTCCATCAAAACCTTATTTGCTCAAGGTTATTTGTTATTACTATTTTGGTTTTGCGATAAAATACTACACTAGCAGTACAATATGAAAGCTTGTAAATAGATAAAGGTTGAGATATCCATAATCAAAATATTATGTTGGCGTAAAACTTTTTGCGTAATTCAAACAAAATTCAGTAACTTTCCAAATAGTAGGCCTAAATTTATGAGTCCTTTCTCGAATATAAAGGGGGTTTGCGCTCCATAGCAAATGTACAAACTAACATTCTATAATTTAGCCACCGTGGATCCTTATACACCAAAAATCTACATGTTACTGTAGCAGGCCTTAATCTTCTATGGTAAGGCCAAAACAAAAAATTTATGAAAAAAGTCATATTTAGGAAAAATCCCCTTGTCACAGTCTACCTTTTTCGAGCAAAAACACTATTTAATGCTCCCAAGAATGACATTATGTTTCAATTGGGCACTAGATCTAATTTCTAGTTCCAAATTGTCTTCTGTGAAACCATAGTGATAAGGGGATTTCTTTCTGCAAAAAGATATTTTTCAAACAATTTTTGTTTTTTCATTTACATACGAGAATGAAGCCTGCCAAAGTAACACGTAAACTTTTGATGTTTGAGATTTTTGCAGACTTTTCCAGCTAGTTAGCGGCCCTCCGCGAATTTTCGGCACCAAACTCAACGACGCAACGCAAAACGCAGCGTGAATTGTCATTTTTGAAGCTTCGTTCTCGGCGTTTAACTTGCAGAATGCTTTGCCTAGACATCTGTTATGGAGCGCAAACTTTCATCTTTTCGAGATGCTAATTCATTAACTTAGTTGATTTTTTGAATAATTATCAAATGTTGTTTGAATTGCGTAAGATTTTACGCGCCAATCTGATATAATGCACGCTTTGCCTGCCGCTCATTCGATGACACTTGTAGCGAAAACTGTTGATCATTTGCATTTGTCTCTACATTCCACACAGCGAAATGATTGCACGTTGTCTTGACTCATAAAACACTGTCTCGCACGGCGCGCTCTTTATATACTGATTGTCAGTAAAAGTGTTATATGTTTTGTTGAATAGTACCGTTTTAGAAATGTTTTTTATAGTTCAAATGTGATGTCGTATTTTCTGTGTACAGAAAAAATCTACGCGCAAAGTAGCGCAAATAAATAATGCAAACAAGTAGCAGTAAAACACAATGAGAAAAATAAAAAATAATTGTAGAAACGACTGCAGTGGTGCGCCACAACATAATGCTATCGTTTCCTCCTCCATCATTGTTGCAAACATATCAGGTTGGTGGAAAAAATGTTGTTGCTCCTTTACTTTTCTCATGCTATGTCATGGTTATTGAATAACATATATTGAACAGCATAAATGAAGATACCTATTCTAAACTAGGTTGAAATCCAGAATTATTGTAAAGATCTATACGTTCACTTCGTGGAGCACCAAGGAAATCCGTTTTCTCGCTTTTTCGTTTCTTTGGTGGTTTTTCCCAATTTGAATTTAAACTTATTTCTATCGTGAGTCGTTTCACGCTTCACAGTTTCTACGATCCACAAGTGACATAATTTAACTATCTATAAAACCTGCCTTGTCTGCCCTTCTTTTTACTTTCAACTAGTGAACCAGTAATTTAAAGGTGCTATTTGCAAGAGCGTTCGCTTCGCAACCGCCACGCGGTTTCCCGCTATTTGCAGATTTTTTAATCGCGCTTACGTTTCTTTATATTAGGTCGATGCAAAAATAATGAGCGTTTTCCTAGGACTTTTTTCAGGACAACTTTTCTCCATCAAACTTCTTTCTTTGTGATGGTTTCCGCAAACTGTTACAAAGCTCTTTTCATGCTCTATCTAATGGTGTTCGAAATGGATTTTTAGCCCACTTTGTTAAGAATTTATAGAGCTTCAAATAATCACACTCAAAACCAGATTTTCGTTACATTCATTTTTCTGGCCAGAATTTGAGCCGAATGAAGATGGTTTATCGATAATTTAGCCGCTATATGTGATGGAAATTGTCTACATTATGCATATTTAACCATATTTTTTGAAGCTATCTGAAGTGAGATATCGGCTGCTTAACATGGGTAATGGTTATGGTCATTTTAGAGCCCATAACTTTCTTTTGTTGAATGCAGTCGCTCAAACTTTGCTCATCTCTGTAAGCGTGAGGGTAGGAGTCCTATTAGCAGTTTTTGCAAAAACATCCAGGTGTTCAGTATTCAGAAAATTAGAAAATTCTATACTCTGGGGTTTTAAGGTTTACTGAAAAAATGCTAAAAAGTTGATATTTTTGAATTTCGATTTTTCCCTCTTCACTAATCTTTTTTCTCCAAACCGTTCCCATGTATATTTGTACTACTGACTTGTGGCTACAAGATAGGCTGCTTATAAATGGTAACAACAAAGTATGAAAGGAGTTATGTTTTGTCAAAAACAAGACTTCAGAAAAAAAATTTTTTGTTCTATATTTTGTCGACTACGAGAAAGCCTTTGACAGCGTCGAAACCAACGCCATCCTGTCTGCGCTAGTCGATCAAGGAGTGGACCCAGCTTACGTGAGGACGTTAGCCGACTGCTACAAGGACTGTACAACGACGATGCAGCTATTCCATCGCCCCTGACCATACCAATCGGGAAGGGGGTCCGACAAGGCGACACAATCTCGCCGAAGCTGTTCACCGCGGCCTTGCAGTGGGTGATGAAGTCACTGGACTGGGCGAGAGAGGCATACGAGTTGATGGGAGATTCCTGTCTAACCTTCGTTTTGCGGACGACATCGTTCTCTTCTCGAGCAGTATCACCGAAGCAGAGACGATGCTGAAGGAACTAAACGAAGTAGGGAAGAAGATCGGACTGCGAATAAATCGGAAGAAGACTCAGTTCATGAAGAACGCCCTTTGCGAAGATGCAGAAATGGAATTGGAAGGCACCCCGATTATGGAGACGTCTTCCTACGTGTATCTCGGACGTTCGATGAACATGGAGAACGACTTGAGGGAAGAACTTAACAGGAGAAGAAGAGCAGCCTGGGCCGCCTTCGGGCCTCTGAAAGAAGCCACCGACCAACTGACGGACTCGGAGCTTCGTGCCCACTTGTTCGACTCAACCGTTCTCCCGGCGCTCTGTTACGCAGCTGAGACTTGGGCCGACACTGTAGCCACGTCGAAAGCTTTACGGACCACCCACAGAGCGCTCGAGCGCAGTCTTCTGAAGATGACCCGACGCAAGCAACATCTAGTCGGACTTCGCAGCACGGATATGAGAAGAATGTCCCGTCTTCGTGACCCAGCGGAATACGTCGCGAAAGCCAAATACCGATGGGCCGGTCACATAATGAGAAGAACAGACGACAGATGGACACTAAGAACATCGGAGTGGATTCCTCGCGAAGCCAAACGTCCTCGAGGAAGACCACCGACGAGATGGGCAGACGTGTTCGTGGAACGGATGGACCAGCTGAGAAATCAGCTGGATACGATTCTTGCCCCTGGAACTCGTGGACGCAGCCACCGACGACGGCCAAGAAGATCGTGGATGTCTGAAGCGAGGGACAGTGAAAACTGGCGACTTCTGTACTGGGGCCCGCACGTCACGTGAGGACGGGCCATCTAAGTATCTAAGTATCTAAGTCTGTAATTTTTTTGTTTTCCAATCCATATTTTTCTGCCCATATGAGATATGAGTAAAGGTCAATGTGCGCTGTACTGCGAAACGTTCGCTGCATTTAATGGTTTTTATCACATTTCAAAATGTAGATTTTGTAGAAAGTTATAGCAAATTGAAGTGAAAAATTGAAAAACGCTCATTTTTGCATCAACCTAATATATTAGATTGGTGGTTTCGAATTTTGCGAGTTTTCTCTTAGTTACAGCTCCTCCGTTAGTAAGCATAGCTCTAAGCGGCCCAGTGCTCCACGTTCCAGTAAACTAAGTTTCCTCAAATTCACATTTCTACAACTTTTTGAGGGCTAAAGCTGCAGAAGAGACTTGCTTCTGCAGCTTCAGCCCTCAAAAAGCCCTTCTGCTTCTTTGCGCTTCTTCAACTTTAACCCAAAAGAAGATATTGCGGGTAAGAAAATGTTGTCCAAGAATTCTTTCTTAGCGTACATTTCTTCTCTATCAAAATGATTTATGCGACTGTACGTAATAAACAATCATCATGACAATTTGTTTGATCGGCATCACACATACCTTCTATACGACTCACGCTGTAACTTTACATAACAGCCATATTCACGAGCTACTTCCATGATCGAGGATTTGCACTATATGCCTGCTGCAGAGGAACATGCAGAGAATATTATGGAACTGCTTCAAGATCAATTCCGCAAACATGAACCTATAAACGCATCGATAAGTAAGATCGAGTGGACATCTGTCACACATTGTTTTGCACTAGCGCAGTTCATTGGTTTTATTTAGATGCCACCGAAGACGATTTGATTGATGTCTTTCGAGATGACGTGAAGTGTGCTTACACAAATGAAAAGTACGGCACATTAGCATACGATGGGAATCGGTCAGTCGCTTACTTTCAACTGTCAGTAATCTCGATTGAAGTTGTCCTCGTTACACCTTTGACTCATATGTTTTCATATTTCGACTCCTACTCCCTATGCATACGCGCAGCATATAGTGTCATATCGTTACGTATGACTTGCTTATGAAATGTTTCTTCATCAGTCAAGTATAAATGTTTTTACGGTAGTGAGTAAATATAATTAAATGCAAATTTCTCGGCGATTCTGAGCCTAGATTATATACGGTATCCCTGGCTTTTCCTTGGCTCCAAGTATGATAGTCAGTTCACCCGTGTGCCACCCTTGCTGGTTTCTGGCCTTGTTTGCTTGATGAGGACTTAAAGAGGATACACTTGATTCTGCTCGTAACGCTTTCGTGCTCCAATGCGCAAGAAAATCTACAGTCTATCACAATCTGCTTCAGGCCAAAATGTAACATGCCTCGCCGTAATGTTTTGCGTCACGGTTTACGATTTAGTAAGTTTCAACTCAGTTTAGGCGGAAATTGGTCTAGCGGGAGTCCGCTTAGCATCGATTTGTGCCGCTTCGCAATTTGCGTCTCTTCATTCTGATATCTCGCTGAGCCAGTGACGGTGCGGACGCGCTCCTCCACTTGGAATGTTTCGCCTACTCCGGGTTGAAAAGACTGTATAAGCTGACCTTATTGATTGGACGTGCCTGTTCTTTTCTTTTCATTCGACCTCTCCAACAAGTCTCCCTATCTGAGCGCGCGATTTCTGCCTCGGCGTTATCCCAATTGAGACATACTGCATGAACTTTGGTCGGCGGCTTCTAATAGCGAAAACGCGGTTTGAAGTACGGCATTATTTTCTGAAATACCCAGAGGAGTGGAGCAAGACTTTTGTGTTAGCTTGAGCGCATACTTATAGTCGCAAAGCGAGAAGTCCAGAATGATAGAGGGTTTTTTGAATAAATTATCTCACGACTCGCATGTTTGCCTCCTGAAATGGTGGACTTTGTTCTACATAAGAATATTGGCGTAAGCCAAAAATAAATTTCCTCTTTAGACTGGTGGGCATGTGCTTATGCTCGATGATTTTGAACAAGTCGAAGGATCCAGTTGAGCTTGATATCAAAAACCTTCCAGTAGAAATGGACATAAGAAAGCATGACTTTGCGAAAGGTCACACATCAAACTTGAAAGCAATTTCCACCATGAATTACGTAATTGCATTTCAGACATTCTCAATGGACCCTACAAGCAACATAAAGCAAATCAAATAGTCGTTTTCGTGCGTACGTTAGAGGAGATAATGCAACAAATGCTGTCCAAATATAAAATTCTGAAGATGAATGTTTTGTCGGTTCACGAGGACTGTATGGGGTAGCTAAAGTTGTGTTTTTTTTTCGTAGAATTATAAGGAATCAAAAAAAACTTCAGTAAAGGTTTGGGCAAAGAACTTAACCGACGAGCCATTCAAATAGCAAAAGACGAAAAGTGCGATTACATAGCAACTGTTGCAACGGCAATGGCGTCACAAGCCATTTTCAGAAAGGTTTGTAAACAACTAGTTTTTTGATGTATTTGAACTCATGTCTGGTGAATGACAATAGTATCATTATTGTCAGAAACATAATGCGCTTTTTTATATGCTTGTTTAGATACTCCAACCAGACATCAGGCCTAAGTCATACTTTACCCGACAACGGGGGTTGCGCGATTTGACATCACAGCAATGGCCCATAATTGGCCCATAATTGGCCGTAAGCGCGCTTTGCTTAAACCAGACTCTATGCCTTTGCGAGAAAATATAGAAGCTACGCCCCTCCTATACATTTGAGACTTTTAATGTATAGACATCTGGCACCGTCGAATGGATTCTCACGGAATCGAGCGAAGTATGCCTTAGGCCTCACAGGTACTGTAGATTGGAGCAAATCAATCTCTAAATGCTGGTATCTATACTTTTGCGTCATGTTTGAGCCACGCAAAGCTTAAAACCAAAATCTAAAAATTTTTGAATGTTCTAAAAATTGAAAAGTCGAATCTCTATCCGATTCCTGTGGATCTCCCGCCCACACACATTCATACTGTCTACATCGAACCTATACATACAGATGCTGCAATTTTTTCTATATTAAAAATTGGAGAACAAAATTTCCTTTTTTTTCAATTAGCAATGCCCGTTCTTACACAAAGATCCTTAAAAACCTCTCTAAGTATAGCTGTTAATTTCTGGCCCTTTATAAATGTTAGTCTTTGACTAACTTGGTTTTAGCACAAAACCCAAAGAAGGGAAGCTGAATTGATGTTTTCCAAAGCATAGGTCTTGTGAAGGCTCAAGATTCAAAGCTGTACTTACAAGTCAATTCAGTACAGAAATACTTATGTAAGAACGGCTTAATATTGTTCCACATACATTTCAGAAATTTCTGTTTCCTCAATTTCTAGCCAAGGAGAAAATACGGCAAATGTAAATATGAACGTCATGTCGATAGTGTAGATGTGTGCGAGTGGAAAATCGATAGGAAGTTTCGGATGGAAATTGATTTTTTCGATTTTTGGGCATTAAAATATTTCTGAAATTTGGTTTCGATTGGATCAAATTTGCCGCAAAAGCATGAATCCCGCTTGTAGAGCCTGCTTTGCTTTATAAGCAAAACCCTTCATTCGTTTTTGGGGTTCCCCGGCTTAGACCATAGCAAGCAAATAAAAGCAAAAATGTTGAAATATTATTACTAATCACAAATCCAGTTTTTTTAGTCTGGCTGGGAAATTCTCTACGAAGTTCCATATTCAGACTATTGTGAGAATGGCAGTCCAGTGTTCCAAAAACTTCACGACGGCTGTAGAAGTGCCAAATGCATGGCATTGAGGTTGCATTGATATAAAAATTTATTTTCTAGATAGTTTCATAAGTTTGTAGCGTTTGCATACACCAGAGAAATGACGAATTTTAATGAAAGACCAGTCAGTGATGTATATTCCGCCGGTGGAAAAGAATCCCGCTTTTCTTAGACAAAGCGGGTTTATTTTAAGAAGCACATCTAATCAGCACCTGAGTCGTTTTTAGAGTGACACAAGCGCGTGTCACATATTTTGCGATAGAGCAGAACAGAGACAATCTACTGAAGCGAGCATCTAAAAACTTCTGGATGTTGAAGACCTTCCAGTGGTGCAGGACAACTCTTTCGACATTTCCCTTATGAAGTTATTCAGACAAGATTACTTGGTGAGCCTATCATGCAGTTTGGGCTCTTGTTTTTGAACGTTGGGGTTTCTCCTATACCAAGCCATTCTTTGCCTCCCACTGGCTTGCTATCTTCTACGTTATCGGTAAAAGTTCTGTCCAAAAAAGCCCATAATCGAAATGAAGCTGGTGACGGAAATACCTATGCCTTCTAACAGTTCATGTTCGAGTGCTCAAAAGTCGACGAAGGCAAGGTTTAGTAACAGTGCTGGATATACCATGAAGAACACGATTAGGCCTTCCTTTGTGTAACTTTCCATCGAGGAGTGAAGAAGAATGAGAGCGCTACAAACGCAAGAAACAGACTAAACGACTTGTCTTTTGTATTCGAAGAATAATCGACACTTTGCAACTGCGCAAAGGGATCCTTTCTTTTCTACTGCACGGAAAACTGTGTGAGAGAGAGATTTAGACATTTGTGACCTCACGCCGCCGGTAGCAGTGCGCATTAGCTGTGTGTTAACTATCACCTTGAACAAACCAAAGGGGCTTTCCATCGAGTGTCGCAGTCGGCGCGCTTGCGAGCCGCCTCACGGGTCTCTCATGGCGTTCGTTCTCAACGGATACGGTATCTTCTCACGCCAAGGCGTGGGAAGTACAGTACATCTATTCTCAATGGCTGAAGAGCTTGGCGGGGAAAATGTTTCGAGATACGTTTGCGAACGCGTCAGGTCCAAGCAGGCGCCTAAGACCCGACCCCGCCGGCCGTGACACTCCGATCGAAATCTCCTTCAATGTAGAAGAATATCTCACTGCTTTCTTGTTTGTCGCGTAGGTCTAACAGAATACGATAGTGTACATTTTTTCATTGTTGTTGTCAGTGTCATAACTAGGACTACTAGAATATGAACGCCACGACCATTTGTCATGGTACTCTACGAAGTAAATCACTTCCAATCAATCCATTAGATTTTTGTAAATTTATCCACTGTGATGTTTTCACCTCTTATCTGAAACATTATCTCATGGCATTTTTGAATGTGCATAAACATTGGATGAATTTGATGATAAGTTTTAGTAGTGAAGGACAAAGACTAATCTGATAAGTAACAAACTTACTTACATATCATAAAATGTGAGCTCATGCGGCTCGTGTCCCGAGCAACAGCTTCTTTGCTTTGCATCTCTTTTGCGGGTGTGCTCTCTAATCGTTTTTCCACGCACAATTAGTAATTAAAACTCGACACCTTCCCACACTCGTGGTGGGAAGATTATTGAAGAGCACGCTCAAGCAATATGTGCAGAGCCCAGGCCAGGGCCCGGCGGGGGTGGCGTTTTCACAAGCTGGATATCGTTTTAGGCCCGAAAAAGCAAAGGGGAAGTCGTATTTTGGGGTCCGGGGCGGAGCCCCGGATCCCAAAATACGACTTCCCTTTTGTTTACCGATAAACAATGCACATATCATTCTTTATTCATCATTCCTTGTTATGCTACTGTTCTATGAACTTAGATTCCAGCAATGTGAAGATTCTGTGCTCCGATCGCTAGCCTTCCCGCAGGCGGGAATTCAAATCGCAATTCTTGTAAGAGGAAAACAACAAAATAGGCTTGTTTTCAATGCACAAGTAACGATATGGCACCAAATTTGCTGTATAGTTGGAGGACCATGAGCACAAAAAAAGTATGAAAAATTATGAAAAACTTATGTGAATTATAAAAATGGTAAGTGTTTTTCGAAATCAGGTGGCTCCCGCGCCACCTGGGAGCCACCTGGGGTGGCTCCCTGCTTCCCTTCACATAATTTCCCGGATTTCTTTACATAAATGTGGACTAGTTCGAGAGTATTACTACATATTCAAATCCGCTAGTAAAACCACCAAGGCACCGCTTAGATACAGCCCCAAATAGGGTTCACAGCGTTATGATCGGCCTCAGAAAGCGCGCTCCAATCGCGATCGGTGCACCTTGCACGGACGACGCGGAAACTTCGAGAATGTGACTTTTCTGAATTGGTGATCGCTGATTGAAGCAATCTTCACGATTTCTGAATAGATTGCTTCTTCGACAAGCCCTACAAGGGCTCAGAAGGGCCAGAGATCATATTTCGTCGTGATATTCTATGCAAACAGTTGTTTTTGTAATCGTGTTTCTTCAATTTTCGCAATATGGTCGATTTCTCCGTACTTTCGCTCTTTTGAGTCGTTTGTTTTCTTCGTTTTCCTTTATTCTGGTTGTTGTAGGCATGCTGTCATCAAAAGTTGAGGAAATGTTTTTGACAAGATCGAGTCGAGTTAAATCGGTGGACCTTCATCCCGCGGAAACGTGGCTATTGGCAGCTCTTCACAGTGGAAGTGTTCAGATTTGGAATTACGAGAGTCAGCTGCTTCTGAAGTCTTTCAAAGTAGGTTTATTTTTTTTGAATTTTCATGTATTTTTGTATGTTAGGCCCCGGTCAGACTCCGCTAAAGATAGCTCATCTCTCGTGAAAAGGGGCCTTCGGTGTTTTTGAGCGGTTTTGGGCTGTTCAACTGAAGTCTGGCTGGGGCCTTATGTTGCTTACTATGTTTCAATCCAGTTGCGCATTCTTCAGATATGTGATTTGCCAGTGCGCGCTGCCAAGTTTATTTCACGCAAAAACTGTATTGTTACCGGCTCAGATGACATGCATGTCAGAATTTTCGACTACAGCACCTCGCACTAAGTCCACCAATTTGAGGCTCATTCGGACTATCTCAGGTAGGTGGAATGGTGCAAATATGTTACATTACATTGAATTTTTGCATTCGTTTTTGTACATCACATTTGTACTTTTTTGTTTTTTCTTTGTGTGTTTTCCTTTATTGCCTCCAATATTTTTATGGATCAGCGAGACCTATATTTTCAATGTGTTTCTGGTCTGGACGATCATTTATTACTCGACAGAGTTTGCGCGATTTGATCCACATTCTCAGTGTTCACGAGACTGTTTGCCTCGATTTCATAGACATAATCTTTGTGTGATTTTTGTTTTTTTTTTGTTGTTCCTAAGATTGCCGTTTTAAATTTCCTCGGCCAAAAACGCTCATAGCCTAGCAGCGAAGCTGATGCGTTACGCTGATGGACAGCATGTTTTTTGACAACATTTTCGAAGCCAGTGTCGGGTTGCTGGCTGGCCTGCGAAAGCCGAGATTTTTTGAGGGGAGTGGATAGTGCAGTGTTTTCCAAAATGTGCGCTCTCTCTGCCAGCTTGCACAAGTCACGGCCCGATGTCCGATCGTCTCTGACAAAACTTTATCGATTCATCATGTCCAGCAGTTAATTTTTACAATCATTTTTTTTGATGAGCAGATCAAAAATCTTTCTCTGACGACTTATCTCATGAAGCAAGTTCAACGAAACGCTTCACTAATGCTTTCGATGTTGACCTCATCAAGTATGTCATTTTTTTCGGTTTTCAAGCATCTGTCTGCAGTGAAAATTCTCAAATGCCCTACCGATAATACCGATCAAATTGCGTGAACTATGTCGAGGGCCTAAGGGATCGTCCAGACCAGAAACAATGAAAATATGATTATGCTATCAAAAGTTCAAACTAGGAATGTAAAATTGCTTGTTCTATTTGTTGTGCTTGCTTTTTCTTGCTAGTTGCGTTCGAGTTATCTTTTTTTTTCGGATCAAATCAAACCCGCATTCCACTTCTATGGTGACTTCTTAGCACATGCCCTTTAGAGAACTTGCATATTTTGAGTCATCCAAAGCAACTTCGATCGATCCGCAAAGCACATTCCCTTTTTTTGGTCTATCGTTTGCCACAATTTCGCTGGCTGCTTTTTTTGTAGCGCTAAAGCTTCTCGTTCAGCAGCCATATTGAAAAAGATGCAAAATTATGTCTCAGAAAGAGCTTTTCTATCTTTGCAAGTAGATGGAGTTTGTAGCATCTATGTGAATAGAAGTTATACGAGAACGAGATGGTATAAAGAGGAAAAAAGAGTTTTGACCGTTGAAGTTGTTGAAGTTGTTATGAAATGAATGTTATGAAATTGTTGTATTGTGTAGGTTTATGTTTTTGTTATTGTGAATTGTAAAGTTTCGCAGCTGACTAATAAATGAGTAGTATCTTAGATATAGGGCTGCAGTGCAGTATTGATACTGCAGGAAAAGGGTGGAGAATATGGCCCAAAAGGAGAAGGACAGAGTGTGGTTTTTGGCCATCCCCTCAAACGATGACCCGGGCTGGACTAGGAAAGCCAGGTAGTACTTCTATAATAAGCGCTGAGGCCGCCCATCTTATTATTTGTGTATATCTGTTTGTCAGGGACTTACGGGGGTCAAAAATAGGGTCAAAAGGGAAGTCGTAAGAAATTTTGGTTTCAAGGGGGATATCGTTTTCAAAATTCTGAAATGCCACCTCCTGCCGGGCCCTGGCCCAGGCAAGGTCGCACGAGATTTGAGTCGCACAAACCCCACCACTCTTAACACGTTTCGGACCGGATAGAGCTGCACCATGTGCAGCATGTCTATCCGGTCCGAAACGTGTTAAGAGTGGTGGGGGCTTTGAAGGAGCTTGACGTTTACAGAAGGTTTTCTTTTAGTCCAAGGTTATCAAGTCAGAGGCCTAAGTTTCTACTTTGCAAATGACTCTGTGGAGTTGTGCCGCCGATATTCGTTCAGAAGAAATGAGCACAAATCGAACAACAGTTGCAACGAAGTACGGCAACGCGGACGACGCGTGCGACGTCGCAACTTTTTTTGCTTCGATATCGAAGAGAAAAACCGTAGTTTCAATACTGGTGTGTACCATCCACAACATAGACACTACTTTTGAATACTATTAGAAACTGAGTTCTTGTTTTCATCTTTCAGGAAAGCACAGAAGTCCTTCTTAAGTGAAAAATTTCGAACACTTCGAATTCGCTCAGAACTTTGGGTACGGAACTTATCTGACAAGCTGATTACAGATGCAGCACACAGTCTACGAAATAAGGTCCTTTTGTTGGCTAATGGCTGAAAGTTCACTCTTTTTCGCCGCGCGCGATTTCGCGGCCCGAAACGTGTTAATAAAACGAAATCAACGTTGATTTTGAGAGAATATGCGCTCTCTGAAAAGAAACATCGAAACACCTGAAAAAGTTGAATTTATCTCTGTGGCTTTACTTGTCAAGAAAAGTTGAGGTCAAAATATCTTGAAAGCTTACCTTGAGGCAGGTTTTAACCTCAACGTTGGCTTGGTGTTCACAAAGCTATCCATACTTTTCTTATTGTAACGGGTAATATGCACCTTCAAGTCAAACTCAAAGTTCATTTATAAACACGGCCACTGGAAAGACAGATTTCGAGTGACTCTGACATAAACAAAACTCTTAAAGGCTCGGTAAACGATAAAAGAAGGTTGTTCCGATGATGCCCCATCATCCGCTACCACGCAGTATCTCAGCAAGTTAGATACGGAAAAGAGTTGCTGGGTACTATAATATTTGACAGACCAAGTTAAGCTCTACAATGTGAAGCTTGAATTTTCGCACCAAGGTTTGAAGTTTGGTGAAGTTTAGATCCAATCTACAAAGGGCTCTAAGTGCCAGTAGAAGTAAAACCAAAAATATTCAGCTTTCGCCATCGCTAGCTTCTCGAAAATACCAAATTCAGCCAAAAAAAAAACAAAAGCAGAGAAGATTCGCATTTTTGACCTATATATTTTTGCTGTGTTCGAGCAGATGGAAAATTTCAAGATCTGCACTGCATGCCTGAGGAGAGTGGAAGTCTCAGAAATGTTATGGACGAACGATTTTTTGGATATATGTTATTCTTATATTTCAGTTTCAAGTTTAAAGTAGAACAGAGTTTCCGCATATACTGCATTCTGTAAAGCTTCTCTTGCTTCATCAAATGTTATCAGTCATTTATTTTCTTATTCACCTGCTGCAATAGCATGTGATGCGACATCATTTCCGGAACAAACCAATAGCTTGAGCTTGGAGAAGTCATTTTCAGCAGGTTTGCGCTCTACATTTTCAAGAAATCAGCAAGACGAGTAATCTTACGCAAAGGCAGCGTCCAGGCAGTCTGGACACATGGGGCTGTCACGTGGATAGTAATTTTGGGGCCCTAACTAAGCCACTGCCCAACCGGTAGCTCAGGTATTGTTTAACGGCTGAGATATTCCCCTCGAAACTGGACCCCGCGATCGTATTTCGCATGGATTCATGGCGCAATGCGTGGATCTTGGCGCGAAACTGCCATGAATCCATGCGAATGCGATTGCGGGGTCAGTTTCGAGGGGAATATCCCAGCCGTTAGAGCACTACCTGCGCTGCCACTTGGGCAGTGCCTTAGTTAGGGCCCCAAAAGTACTTCCCACGTGAAATCCCCATAGGTCCAGATCTGTGGACGCTGCCTTTAACACATTGATGACCATGCAGATTTTTCATTGTCTGCCCTCTGGGACTAAGGCCTTTCACGGACCAGCCCACATTTTTCAACTATAATTACGCATACTGCCATTTACGTCAACACATTCGAAAGGCTGACAAGAAAGGTAGAGGTCGTCTTCAAATTCCGCGCAAAAGAAGGCTCGTGGAGTGAGTTCATACCAAGATAGTAGTCATTATAACAAAATTCAAGACATGACACACCATGTGTGTCAAGCGGTCGTCAATGGTTAAAATGAGCGAATGACTTTCTGATTTGTTCTGATTCACGTTTTAACCAGACATTACCCTCTTTAGAGCGGCTCACAAGAAAATAGTGCACCGGCTCCGTGGGGCCCCGCACTTTGACGCTGTGTGCTGGCCGCAGCTACACCATAGATCCCTAACGTCCTCTACACGATGTTGCGCGTCCCTGCAAGGTTCATGAGTCCCTAGCGGCGCTGCCGCGGACTACACCAATCCTCTTACTAACATAATGGCGCTGATGAAAAAGTTAGAACCGATTAGGTTGAAAGCATTTTTCCTACTGACATAAAGATTATAGAATAGCAAAACATTGGACAGACTATAGAACACGGGGCGGCCGCACGCTCTTTGCTACCGATGGTTCAACTACACTAATCATGTTATTCTCGAAGCCTTACCAGCAGATCCGCCGCCAGCCGTTACGACCCCAAGGTAAGGTACAACCCTCTCCGTTCTTGATGATCTCCCATTTCTAATCCAAACGGGATCGATTTCACTATCGCACGTCAAGCAGCTGAAACAATCCAACATTCCACGTACAAACGCTCGACTGCTATACTAAACACATCCAATGCTCGAGGGCAATGCAATAGGAGATTAAGATTACATGCAAACAAGACGAAAGTGGGCAGACGAGCAAATGAGACGCCGTCGCTATGTATAGCCGTTTTGTTCTTTCAAGAGCGCGTGTATCGCTAGGCGCGACGAATAATCAGAGTTTACAATGGCATTAAAAAGCGAGCTTGGAACGAGAAGGTCGTGATGACACTCATGGGTCAGCCAAATGGTGACTTCGGTTAGGGTCTGATAGGGCAAACTTGATTTATTAATCAGGCTTTGACAAAGGCAGAAGAGCGTTGGCCAAGAACATTTATACGTGTTGAGTATAGAGCGTCAATCGAAATTCAAATGGTATTCTAAGAGTCACTATCATATATCAGCACTCTATGCTTTCTGGTATATATTCCATTTAGCTTATGTTTTTGTATTTTCTTCCTGAGAACTTTCAAAGACTTCGTGTTTGGATAAGTTGCAGAGTTTACTTCACCAAAGTGATCTTCAAAAATAGACTAAAAAAGTCGTAATGGTTTGAATTGTTGGTGGCACTTAGGCAGTCTTGCAACAGTCATGAATTCCATTCCTAATATGAAGTGCACAGCTCACAGCACAGCTCACGAAGGTCAGAAAATGAAAAGCTGTTCAATCCACTATTGCGAATGCCCTGATTGGTAAAAACATATATCAGCATTCACATCGTAATAACATGTTAGGTTGGACCGAAAGTTCGTCCGCACCAAATTCAAGAATTCATAACTTGTTAAATTCTCAACGAATTTGCAAGATCTAAATTTTGTATAAGAGAAGAACTCATGTTCTTTGCAACTGTACCTGAACTGTTCGTTAATATGTACAAATGAATGAGATAGAAGCTCAAAACCAAAATCACTCAAAATTTGAGCTATTCTTTGCACTGTTGGAAAGAGCTTGTGAAAGAACCTACAGTACTAACTGCTCTGATTTTTGTTGCCAGTTTCCGATTTTTTATGACCCTACACGAAAAATTCAAATTTTGAGTGAGTTTGGTTTTGAGCTTCTATATCCTTCATTTGTATACATTAACGAACAGTTCAGGTACAGATGCAAAGAGTATGAGTTCCTCTCTTAGGCAAAATTGAGTTCTTACAAATACGTTAAGAATTCAAAGAGTTATGAATTTTTAAAATTGGTGCAAACGAACTTTCGGTCCAACCTAATATTAGGTGGGTCACAAAGTTCGTTCGCCAAATTCTCAAAAAATCATAACTTCCTTTCTTCTTGGTAAAACTTCTTAATTTTATTTTTGTATGAAAGAGGAAACATTCCTCTTTACAACAGTATCTTTGCCATAAAATGGCCTGAAAAAGTTTGAGATTTTGATTTTCGTAATATTCCCGGATTTTCGGGTTTGCGTTTTTCACGAAAATTAGAATTGCTCTCGATTGGTACGATTTTCGCTCAGCTAGAAAGAGAAGGTCACCCGCCTTTTTTGTGACATCTTTGGGCTTTTGTGAGAATGCTCAAAAACTGCAAAACTGAAGTTATTTCTCTTTATTTGCTTATAACTTTCGATCTTTTCATTTTGAATCGTGGAAAAAACACTCTAGTAAAGAGCATAATTTTCTCTGTCACCAAAATAATTGCTAGATTTTTTGTGACCCTGCTTAAAAAATAGCAACCTTAAGTAATTTTTTCAACTGCTTCCACTCTCGAACTTTTCCAGGCCATTTTATGGCAAACTGTTGTAAACAGAAAGGTTTCGTCTTCCAAAGAAAATCAATTCAAGAAATTACGTCGAGAAGGAAGGAAGTTATGATTTTCTGAAAATCTGGCGAACGAACTTTGTGGCCCACCTAATACTTCCATTAACTCTGAATCAATTCCAAAACTGAAGCATGCCTTTTCAGGTATTAGTATTTTAGAGTAAATTTCGAATCTTCTTACGCACAGACATCCTTTACGACCAGTTCAAGTACTTTTATTACTTATGATAAGTGGCGACCGGGAGTGTTCTTTTTTACTCCTCATCACATTTCCAAGACGAATATCAATGTGTCGTAACAGCTGATATCTATAACTTCAAAAAGAATTAACTTTCTTGTGGGAGACAAGATTTGACAAACTCTTGAATGCTCTCGTCCCCAGCTGTATTATATGGCATGCACTTCAAAGTTGATTCGCACGCTTGCACTTCGATAAGATTACACAAGCGCGGAGGGTATTTTACTTGACTAAAAGTACTTCAGGAAAAGGTCAGGGAGAACCTAGTCGATAATGCATTTAAAAAGTGTGGTGTTCGTTCTACTTTTTCTCAAAAATTTCACGGTTTTGGAACTATTTGATTTTCCAGTTTCTTATCTTTTAGCGAAATGAATTGAATTTTGTAAATTCCATTGTTCTTCATCACGAGAACTCAAAAGGTTGATTGGAATGCATTGCCTTGAAAATTGTGGACGAATGAAACTCCATTATTTGATACTCAAATTGTGCAGCTTTCACGTTTGTCTTGCTGCTTGAGGATGTTTGTAAAGGGCAAGAAAGCATTAATCATTTACGTTTTCTTCTATAGATGAGATTCATTTCTTATTTCTTCGCAGCTTATAGGAAGCAATAGCCACTATCTATCAAGATATAAAGAATTGAATTTTTCAAAAAAAAATCTATGGAAGTGTCTCACAGTCGGGTTTATTATTCGTTCACGGTGAGACTTTTTGGAAAAAGTCCAGAATTTGATTATTTATAACCCAGCAATCTGATATTTAACTATTCATCTGATTTATCACTGTCCTTTAGACTGGATACTGAATACGTCATAGTGGAAATGCTAGTAGCTAAAATAATATCCTATAGCTGCAATTCTTTCTAGTTCTGTGAAAAACTGAGCATGAAAGAAAGCTCAGATGAAATCCACGTACCATTTAGGTCATTCTGACTTGATCGAAATCATTTTTTCCTGGAAATCTCAATTATTTATAAGGATCATTTAATCCGGAAAATTTATCCCGTATTTACAATGTCTAATAATATCAGGTTGCCCCTTAAATCTTTTCATATCTGACTTTACAGCGACATAAGTCAGTCCTTCTTATATTCCTGATACGATGCGGGCTACCATTCGTCAGATCAGCGCAAGCTCTACAAGATGGAGCTCGAAAATTCGCACTAAGTTTGATCCGCATCAAGTTTCAAGCCAAAATAAAAAAAATTCCGAGTTACCCAAAAAACGAAAATGATATCATTTCAGTTCGAGACATCTCTGCAAATTTCCCACTTGCGCACGCATATATTCTTTTCATCGAGTGTTTACACACATTTACTGCATTTTTCTGGTGGTCAAGAAATCAAGAAAAAATAATGGGCTGAATTTTCAAACTTTGCCTGCGATTCTGTGCTCCTTACAAGTATGTGGTAATATAGTTTAACTACTCAGAAATGATATCACAAACATCTTCGTAGGTGCCCTAGTTCGAGAAATATCAATTCGAATGTTCGTATTTTAAAAAAATGGTGGGGAAACCTAATACATTGACTATGCACTTTCAAAGCTTGTTATAGAAAGTTCGAAATGGTGGGTATTCATAAATTTTACACCAAAAAGAAATTTTAGAAACTTCAATAGCTTTAGAGCTTTTTACTTCATTTCATGTATTAACCTTCAGAAAATGTTCTATTTTACCACGCTCTCAGGAAATTCCTAGGGTACAAGATGTACTGGTGTAAAACTCAATAATCGTAACCATCTGCAGGTACATCCGATCAGTATGATTTTTTCAGGCGAGAAAATGGTCATAAAAATATTTGAAAGGAAACTAAGATTTTGCCGAGCCGCTTAGCTTCAGTTACCAAGTTTTCAAAAAATGATTTGATTGTTTCTCCCCTATCATGGATTTGCTCAAAGCACATTAAGAAAGTGCATAAGTTCCTCTTCTTAAGCCACTTGAATCACAGAACTTCATTCATTTTATGGTTTTTCGAGAATTTATGTGTAAGAATAATCAAGCAACCTGATTTGTAATCCTGTGGTTCTAATCCACTCTACAATCAATGTAATCCAATTCCTCTGAATGCAGAAGATAAGACCTTTTATGCTCCATATTTAGTTGCAGGTTATTTCATAGCTATTCTGCTTCTTAGCAGATGCTCGACAACTTTCGCTTCCTTTCTGTCACCGAGGATCGCGCTGATGAGATATTGCAGTTTCTTCTGAATCAATTTGGCCCGAATGAACCTATCACAAAATCCATACGTGAATTCTTCCTTTTCTTTAACAGCACATTGAGATAAGACAGTTCATCATTTAGGGGCAACAAAAGACGACGTAATCGATTTTTATCGGGACTTGACAAAAAGTGCGTGTAAATTCGACAAGTATTCTACTTTGGTTTATGACGAGAACAGGTTTGTGGGGACTCAGAAATTTTGTTGTGATCGGATTAGTGCAATTCTTTTTTATTTTTTATTTTCAACTAACCCTCAGTTTTTCAACTCGGGAAATTCCACAAAAAATTTCTTGAATATAATTTTCTAGGAGTTGTGAGAAAATTTCGGACATTTCCAAACTGATTGCATCCCGTATATCTCAAATTAAAATATTTGTGAACAATCCCAACAGCAAGGTACGACTAACTGAGCAAGCTTCAGTTTTCACAGATTTGTGACAATAGACATCACTAGTAACTATTATTTGAGAATAGAATTTCAAATAATGATTTTCTATACCAGTTTACATAATACGAAAGTGTGACCTAATGCTCACTTTCATTGCAATCTTACCTGGTGTCACTTTTCAAGTAATTTGCTTTTATCCAATTTCACCGGTTTCTAGTCTTGAATTCTGCGAATGTAAAACTCACTTTGCAGTGGCGGACCGAAGGGGGGGGGGGGAGAGCGCCGAATTAGTCGAATTTTTGAGATTCACTTACGTGGGTTACAAAAATGTGCGAGTGACTTGTTTGTTCTTGTAAACAATTAAGATAATTTCTAGAAATTTTTAAAAATTCAAATTAGCCTTGTAAAAATTTTTTTTCGGGGGCATGGCTGACGCTACGCACCTTCATTTGAAAAAAAAATTTTGCCGCGCTTTCCCCCACCCCCACCCCGGATGGAAATCCTGGGACCGCCACTGTCACTTTGTATTGCTTTTGCTCTCTTATGAATCTCTAATGATTCTAATGATTCTACCATAATTACGAGCACTTTCATATTTTAGTCAAAACAATCGCAAAATGTTAATAGTGTGTACTCGAGAGCTTTATTCTTTGCCAGCCTTAGATAGAAGTGGAAGTCTCCTTTTCACAGGGAAGTTAGAGTCACAAAAGAAAGATGTTGTTACTGGAAGCAAAAGTGAATTTCAGATTGGTAGGAATTTGTCTATGCTCCCTGTGTTTGCCAGGATCTGCCGATGCATCATCATCAACAAAAATCAAAGAAAATCATGATTATACGGAAGGTTCTTTAACCACTTTGATTTTTCAGATTCTATCTTCCATTGATTTAGAGATTTCCAATGGTTCCTACAAACAACATAAAGGAAATCAAATAACTGTGTTGGTTCACATACTCGAAGAGGAACTGAAGAGGTTGCTATCTAAAAGCAAATTTATGGAATTAGATATTTTATGTATACATAAAGATTATGCTGGGTAAGCTGGTCAACTTCGTGAAAAAAAAGTAAACTTGAATGTTAAATTTCAGCAGGGGTTTGGGCAAGGAGCTTACTCGACGAGCTACGGAAATGGCAAGAGCGGAAGGATGTGAATACTTAGCGGCTGTGGCAACCGCAGGAGCATCGCAAGCTATTTTTAAAAAGGTATTATTTTTGAAAATCCTCAAAATGATAGAAATCGCTTTGGTAACTAACAATAGTTGGGGAAAATCTAACAAAATAATTCGCTTACTGCTGAGCGTATCTATTGACGAGATTTTGCAGCAGGCTACGCACAGCTTGCGAATACCGCCGCGGCGCGGCTTCACTGCTTCTGAGTCGTAAATAGAATGCTAGAAGGCTAGAAAAAGATGAGATAAACGACAAGATAGCAGTTTGTGCATTGTTTGCGTAAAATTGCAAGCAGATGACAGAATTATCATTTTCTTTCAGTATGGCTGGAAAACCCTCGTCGAGATTCCATACACAGACTATTGTGAGAATGGTAATCCTGTGTTTCAAAACTTACACGATGGTCATCAAAGCGCAAAAGCTATGGCACTGAAGTTGAATTTATGATTGCTATTGATTTGTGATTGCTTGTAAGAATAAAGATGTTCAATTACATAACGATATGATGTATCTCTTCTTACTTGATGTCCTAAAATCTTCCCAGTTTCTGTTAATAATACATCTTTCTTTACCTTGGTGATCCTATCCCTTTTAGCTAGCTTTCAAATTGGATGTGTTACACGATAAGTAAAGAATAAACAAAAAAAAATTTCATGTTACTATGCGAATTTCTTCTTTGTTATACATTTATGTTTCTATAAGAGATAGAAGCCCATAACAGCATAGTTGTTGGTTTTCATTTTAACGTACATTCTTATACCGCCATCAACGGAATCTACCCCTGAGAATAGCATTTAGGAAACGAGGGAATACTCTTATCTGGTCTAATCAAAGCATAGGGCAGCAGATGGAAGTATGTACAAAAAATAGGTAAACAATCTGATTAGTTAGTATTATGAGTTTATGGTGAATCAAGTAAGTTGTACAGCCGATACATTTGCCGCTCAAGTTATGGTGATCCTCAGTCAATTTGACGGAAATAAAGAACTGACGACAATATTTGCGCGAAAACAAACGCTATACTCGTGAATGTCGTGAACCTTGTTTGTGATTTGAGCTTAAAAAAATGGCCAGAGAGCGCATATTGTCATTGCTGCGAGTGTTGTCGGTATCACAAGAACACTAAGCTCAACTGTTATGCTATACGTATGCGTGTTCCCACCAGCTCTCCACTCCATAGCCGTAATAACATCGCAGGTCGTAATGCGACCTCGCGGCTACGTTGCCATGAATACATGTTCGTTTGCATATCTCGCAAATCGGTCATCCTTTCAACCTCTCACCTTAGCCATACGTCGTCATTAACTCATTCATCATTTTTATCTGACTTTTTTCTACCTTTACCTACGCATTATGTGTAACATTGAGTAGATAAACAAATCAAGAATATCTTATTGAAGAAATACTTTATTATGGTTCTTAGCCTATCTCTAATTATGTTGACAATATTGCAGCTGCCATCTACATAAAAATCGTTTCTCTTGCCATATATATGGTTCCTAATGTACAGCAGCTAGTACATAAACTATGTGATGTCCATGCGATTATCGCGTATTTATCCCGTTACCAAGGCGCTTTGGCGACCGCCAACAGGTACGACGCAGCCTAGCCATCGGCGCTGTGTCGTGACATCGTCGTTGAAATCATACTATACAGAATCATTTCTGTAGTGTGTATTTCGCAATCCCAACCAAAAAGCGACACCTGTCCACCGCGATGAACGGGAAACGGGCGAGCTGCGAGCGGGAAGAACGCGACTTGTCGCGCTGAGGACCGTGACGTGGTCGCAAGATCGCGTCGGCGACTCGCTCTTCTGAGCGGTTTTATACGATGCGCAAAAAGTTGGGAGGGGGAGCGTGTTCCATCTTCAACTTTTTCATCCAAACTTCATCTAAAGCCTTCTTCCTTTTTGGTAAAGATGAATATGGAAATCCTTACTTCTATAGAATTTTAACATTTGGAAAAAATAACTTCTCCCAGGATCGTCCACCATTTAGGAGCAAAGAGACACAACAATTTTTCCATATTTTTATGCAATCATTCCTCTTCGCAGTATTCCGGTTTGTGCTTCTGTATGGCTGTTGCCAAAGCATGGTCAAACATCTCCCCTTTGGGAATGAGGAAACAGGCTCCTTTGAGAAATAATAGCTACTTTTCATTTAAATCCCGATTCAAAATAAAAAAATGCTGATATCCAGACTTATTAGTACGAATTTTTGGAGCTGGTAAGTTTGGGCAAGAAGGAATTCAGAAGCGTCCTCGAGCGCTCTCGAGTGACCACTGCCATGACAATATCACGTCGCTGGCAATTACCGCGGCCCCATAACGCATTCGTTACCCGCTGCTGTGTTCAGATTGTCAACACGGCTGATATACGCAGCAGGCTCACCTGGGACAACCTTACCCAGGTTATCCGGTAGCTTTGCGCAGAGGCGATAACGTGACCAATGAGGCTCTGCCGAGGTGCGTTTATTGCTGGTTGAAAACTTATACCAATTGCCCGCGATGGCGCCTGAACAAGGCTGTCATACGCAATTTTTGAACGCCCCCAGGGGGCAGCAAGAGTTAGATATTGTAGTACTGTTAAAGGTGGCTATGTCGGTCCTTTCTTTGCTTTCTTTTTTAGTTGATGGCTGACGTTCCATAGTGTTAGGAAAGTGTTCCAGGAACATTCAAAGGTTTACCTTCTGTCTCCTGCACTTGTAATCTAATATATAAAGAATGGTAGTGCCAATTCAAAAAACATCACATAGCGGGAAATCGCGGTGCGTTCCCGAAGTGCGCGGATGCAGTGTAGCATCTCTGATCACTGGTTCAGTAGTCTAAAATAAAACTTTTTAAAACATTTCTACCATTTTTAACTTCCAACATCCGGTTTCCGAAGTTTTGTTTGACTCTTACGAAAGATAGTAATCGTAATTAGATGAACCAAATCTTAAAAGAAACATGATTCTTTTCACATTTTATTCCTTCTGGTGCCAAAACTGGCGAAACTATTAGGTTGTAACATAAGTCTTGAGACACTCTTACTTCTTATGGCGATAAGTCATGCAGTTCACGTTTTCAGTGGGGACTCAGGGTACCGTTCAATGGAGCCAAGCAAGCTCTACAAGCTGTTATGCAAAAGTTCGCACCAGCTTCGACCCACTGTAATTTTGCATCAAAAATGTGAGTCGCACTGAAGGCCCAGAAAATTGCGAAAAATTCATATCTTCGTTCAATAAAATCCTATGGATCTCCAACTTGCTCACAAAAATTGCACACTACCTCTGACACTTACATGTACCGTTTCTGAATTTTTCCTCATTTAGAAATCGAGAAAACGAAAATTTTCAAGTTTTTACAAAAACGAAGCTATGTTGTTTCTATTCATGTAGCTGTATACTACAAGCCCTTACAAGTATAACCGTAAATTTTCAGCTTTCCAAAAGCCCTAGTTTTCGAAAATTACCAAGTTTATCCTTTTTCACTTGGTGTTCAATGCTAAATTGGGTAATTTTCGAAATTAGGGGCTTGTGGAAAGCTGAAAATATATGGTTATACTTCTAAGGAGTTGTAGTATACAATCGCATAATTGGAAACAGCTCAGCTTCGTTTTTGTGACAACTTGAAAATTTTCGTTCCCTCGATTTCTAAATGAGGAAAAATTCAGAAACGGTACATGTGAGTGTCAGAGGTAGTGTGCAATTTTCGTGAGCAAGTTGGAGATCCGTATGATTTTATTGAACGAAGATATGAATTTTTCGTGAATTTCTGAGGCTTCAGTGCGACTCACATTTTTGATGTAAAATTACAGTGGGTCGAAGCTGGTGCGAACTTTTGCATAACAGCTTGTAGAGCTTGCTTGGCTCTATTGAACGGTACCCTGAGTCCCCACTGAAAACGTGAACTGCATGACTTATCGCCATAAGGAGTTAGAGTGTCTCAAGACTTATGTTACAACCTAATAATATGCTCCAGAGCCTCACGTTTCATGGTCATACTAGACACAATAGTTTATGAATTTGCCATTCAAAGAATTCGAAGCTCGAGTGAATATTAGCAGCAAAAAATTTAGTGCGAATTATATCAATAGATTGATTTTATGCCATTCGCACTCTCATTTACGCTCCTACCGACCTATTAAGAATGTAAAGCATTTTCGGAAATACCAAAAATCTGAAGGACTTGCTCTATCGCCGAATCAGTTCACCTCAAGAGCCCAATTGCGAACATAGCCAAAGTTGCAGATAATGAATTTGTTCAAACCTTTACCATTAATTCTCCTAGAAGCATTAGTTAGCAGTTCCAGTACAGAATCATAGCAGCTGAAAAGATCAACCACATATCTTACCGAAGGTTCGTTACTTTGTAAGCTCGATAGAGTTATCGGTAAAAAGAAAGAAAGTATGTGAGAAGCAGAATGTACCGATTCCAAAAGATGAGACAACTTAAAAGCCTGTTTGCATATATTTACAACGGCTTCATATTACTAACTTCAAAGAACGTTTCGCATTACGCGGAGAACGCTTATTGTGAGAGAGTTTATGCCAAGGAACATGCTAAGTATATTGACACTCTAGCTTGATATTCTCAAAGTCCCCAATCATTGGGTTAAAGTATACTTTATATTGAAATAGTTTATAAAGAAGTACGCGACCGGGCAATGGGCTCATTCATAGCGGTAACAGCACTCAGTCGAAATCGGGAAATTGATAGACACGACTCGAAGGGCGATATACAGGGTGTCCCAAAAGTATGTATACACTGTTTGATCATTGATATCTCCCTTCCCTAGAAGTCTTTTGCCTGCCTTCATGTACCTTTTTGTAGGGCAGACCTCAACTTTACAGCATGGAGCGAATCAACTATCTTCATTCACTACTGTAGGATTACGGTAGGAACCTTCAAGAAGGGTTTTGAGCCATTGAGGGTCCTAATCCGCCTTAGAAAGTAAACCAAACAATCTGTAAACACTTACACTAGGCTAATTAAAGTCGTTTGCATTTGACCGCGATGCTTCCTTCATGACTTATGCCCGTAAAGCGTGATAGCTGTTTTTACTATGCTCCCTAAAATTGCAGTCAAACCCTTTGAAGAGCTTTTCAAACTCCTAAAAAGTTGAGTAGCGAAATCAGCGCACGTAAAATCCCTGGTACACCACTTTTCAGAATTTTTTGGAAACTTTTTTTTTGAAACACGGCTAATCTGCAATGACGGTGTAAGCCAAAAGTTCTTACCATAATCCAACAGTACCGAAGAGTGATCGGTGGTTCGCTTTATATTGCAAAAAGTTGAAGCCAGCTCTACAAAACGGTACCTTAAGGTAGGTAAAAGACTCTCTGGGAAGAGAGATACAACGATTAAACAGTGTATACATTCTTTTGGGACACCCTGTATATTATCAGATTTCTTTCATTTATTCACGTATTCTTCGAAAATTTCAAACAAAACTAAAGAAAATGGAATGTAGAGCAAGGTAATGGTGACGGGAATGGATTCAGAGCGAATTATCAGACATTAGATTACAAACTGCAGGAGACCGAAGGTAAAGGTGAATTAAATGTTCCTGGAACACTTTCCTAACACTATGGAACGTAACCATCAATTAAAAAAGAAAGTAAAGAATGGACCGACATAGCCACCTTTAACAGTACTACAATATCTCACTCTTGCTGCCCCCTGGGGGCGTTCAAAAATTGCGTACGACAGCCTTGTTCAGGCGCCATCGCGGGCAATTGGTATAAGTTTTCAACCAGCAATAAACGCACCTCGGCAGAGCCTCATTGGTCACGTTATCGCGTCTGCGCAAAGCTACCGGATAACCTGGATAAGGTTGTCCCAGGTGGGCCTGCTCCGTATGTCAGCCGAGTTGGCAATCTGAACACAGCAGCGGAGAAGGGGTACTATGGGGCCGCGATAATTGCCAGCGACGTGATATTGTTATGGCATCGGTCACTCGGGAGCACTCGAGGACGCTTTTGAATTTCTCCTGCACAAACTTATCAGCTGCAGAAATTTAGATTAATAAGTCTGCATACCAGCATTTTTATTATAAATCGGAATTTGAATGAAAAGTAACTACTACTCAAAGTTTTGAGCCTGTTTCCTCATTCCCAAAAAGAAGCAAGAAATTTATGTTGTGGCCATAGAATGTCCACTAGACTACTAATATGATCCTTCAGTGTTAACCATGCTTTGACAGCAATCATATATAAACCAAGCTGGAATGCCAACTGCAGAAGAGAACATGATTCGTAAAAATGTGGGAAAAATTTTGTGTCCTTTTCTTTTAGAAGCTGTTGGACGATCTTGAGAGAAAAAAGCTTTTTTCCAAATGTCAAAAATCTAGAGAAGCAGATACAATTTTGGAATTTATACGGCGCTGGACGAGAAATTAGGAGAGAGAGAGAGACACGCACCCTCTCCTTACTTTTTGCATTTTGTATAAAACCGCTCAGAAGAGCGAGTCGCCGACGCGGTCTTGCGACCACGTCACGGTCCTCAGCGCGACAAGTCGCGTTCTTCCCGCTCGCAACTCGCCCGTTTCCCGTTCATCGCGGTGGACAGGTGTCGCTTTTTGGTGGGGATTGCGAAATACACACTACAGAAATGATTCTGTATAGTATGATTTCAAAGACGATGTCACGACACAGCGTCGATGGCTGGGCTGAGTCGTAGGTGCAGCGGGTTGCGGTGGGCGTGTCAGCACGCGTTAATGACACAGCACGTCTGCTGCGGAGATCTTTGACGCAGTAAAGGACGCAGAAGTATCTATTCGAAAACATCTGAGTGAAGAACATGAGTCGAGGTGAAAGGGGGGGGGCGTAGCTTTTAAATCTAGTTATTCCATTCTGGTATAGGCCAATATGTTACAGAACCGTTTAAAAATTTGGAGAAGTATGATAAAATAGATTATTTCATGAAGTATACAAGCGTCTACAAATCAGTGTGCTATAGGGTTGGAGCGTTAGTCTTCTCCCAAGATATATAAAAAAATTCTTTTTTCGGTTGCAATTAATGTTCCTATTTCGACAAAAATTGGACGAGAAGAATCATGCTCTTTTTTCACAAGGGTACTTGAGGCAGAGTATCACGGTTTTTTTTCCTTGAGATACAAGGATGAGGAACTACAATAAAATTAGAAAATATATAGAATAAAAAGAAAATAGAATTAAAATTAAAATCAAACAAAATTTGTTAGGAACGCTGGAATTTGCAAAGAATCAAAAACTAGTGATAAAATACAAAAAATATAAATCTGATTTCTTAAATCATTCGATTATTGACCTACCTATTATTATATAATGCTTGAGTGACTGGGAGATTTCTTTTGTCCTTGATTTACACACGTTTGTATCTCAACTGATCGGATTTTTTTCACAATACGTTTTATACAGCAAAAAATCTTTATTCTTATTATGAAATTTGAATGTTTCTTCCACATTTTTGATGATTTTGACATTTTTTGTTGCAAGACATATGTTATGAGACAATATAATACAGAACAATGAGTACGGATTATTAAATTCCAGTGGCGTACCCGAGGAAGGCTTCCCCCCCCCCTCCCCTCAGAAAATGGATCGGATTTTGTTGGTCGTTTTTGAAAGTTACTTACATGAGCTATAAAAATGTTCAAGTGACTTGCTTAGACTTGTAATTGATTGTAATGTTTTTTGAAATTTTTTTAAAAATTCATTTTAGCCTTACCAAAAAATTTTTTCGGGGGCGTCGGCTGATGCCACGCCCCCCTTTTCTGGAATTTCGGAGCTATGGGCCAGCGAAAAATCTAGAAAATATACCAAAAAAATTTTCGGAGTGCACCTTCATCGGAGAAAAATTTTTGTCGCCCTCCCTAACGAAAATCCTGGGACGCCACTGTTGAATACATATAAGCTCCATAAATGAAAATGTGTGACAATAATTCTGCCTTCGTCTCCAAGCCTGTTCCCTCTCTTTGTTCAACCACAACCTCCAGCTGGTCGCGCTTTTCCGTTTGTTTACCTTTGGCATTGGTCAATAGTGTCGTAGGCTTGAGCTCTGTGCATCTCACCTACAACTATGCTACATTTAGAAGCTCAACTGTACAAGCTTTGCTAGATTCTCCAAATCAATAATTCTTATCTCATATTTGTTCATATTTGATGCTCATGAGAAATTCTGAACGCTTAGGATGAAGGGCAACGCTATAGATTCGCTAAGAATGCATGAATCACTCCTTCTTTTGCTGCGGAATGCCTTTTTTCAGCGCTTATACTATCATCCTATTCTCGTACTTATTCGCACGGAAGTTGAACATAATTATCAAAACTTTGAATCATGTCAAGCTATGACACTTAAGTCAGGCGGTTCTGCACTTGTTTAGATTGATACATAAGTTCTTCACCAGGGAATAGAGGAAATTCGTTTTAGAAAAAAGTCTGAGTAGTATTTTCAAAGTATATATACTCTCTGATACTAAAGTATTGCATCATACATACTATCAGAGACTTTTTTGAATTAGAAGCCGAAAGGTTAATGAAAAATCTGAGATTCATAGTTACTTGTAAAAATTTCGTTCAGCGACAAAAAATTTTCAGATATAAAGAGCGCGTCACAACAGCAAAAATTACTATAAGATTTTAGTAGACACGTAATTTTAACTGAACTCTAAAAGCCCTTGTCAAAATGTTCTTTTCAAAATTTTGTATTAGAACGATATGACAACGAGAAATTTTGTATCAAGCGTTTTTGGAAAGTAGAAAATGTCTTCTGTCTAATACGTATCAAATTAAAAAATTTTATCAACTGATATAATTTTGAAAATTTTCGGTGCAAGACTTATGTATCAACTAATAATATATTACTATGCTATTGCTCATGATAGCCTTACTTTTTAAAGCACGTTATGTCCCAAATTAATGTATCAACAGTATCTTTTCCCATGTTTTTCTTTTCTTTTCATTTTGCTTGTCAGCATTTCCTCAAGATTTGCTGCTGTTTAATGCGAAATTAACTAGCGTATACGTATTCATAAAACAACCTATAACCTTTGTTGTTTGCATTATTTTACTCGCAATCTGCTTGAAAGGTGATAAAAATATTCGTTTACCACATACCAGCGCCTTGATTTGTAATTCGTTTTATGCCATGAGCGCACACGGAGATAACAAATAAGGATACTCGTTGATCCAGTCTGCTGGATGCTTTTCATGTACAATCTTCAAGATATCTTATTCTTCTTTTCCGTAAACTGTTCTTTACCAGCTTTGTATGTAGGTATTATTTTATGATTATCATTATTGATTTCAAAATTTAAATGGCTGAAGTTTTTTGTAAAAATGCTGATAATAAGGCAGCGATTCCAGATCTCTTTACCTTCTTCTTCTTCTTCTTCTTTTTCTTCTTCTCTCTCTCTCTGCATTTGTCACGGATATCATGATTCTTAATAGGAGAATATGTACAATCTCTTCTAGTTTCAGAGTGATACCCGTCTAATTTAAGGTGTGCAGGACAATATGTAAGTGAGAGGAAATGGCTGATCCTCTCTTATGCCTTCGAAATAGTACTATTGGTATAGCGATATGGAATATTGTGAGTAATTCTATAAATTGTTCTACAATGGACCAGTTAGAAAATTTTCAAAAAAGTAGTTCCAGATTTATTCTGTGATTCAAATGGGAGTATTGGGATGGCAAGTGAAGGAGGTACGAGATCGACAGTGGGAGTATGAGGGACGTCAGCTGCCAGCTACTGGAGGGTAAGCCCTATTTGCAAAAATTATATAGATTGTCCAAAACAAATGTGCCTACTGTTTTATTGTCAACTAGCTGGCTTACCCGGCTCCGCCGTATCCGGACCAAACTTGGCACACATACACTTCGGGCCCCGGCGGGAGTCACAGTCCACTTTTCGTTATCGATCGATGTCGATTTTACCGATTTTTATCGATTTTTTGCAGAGTTCACCTACAGGGCTAGGAGTTGGCACAGGGGGGAAGTGAGCATGGGGATTCCGAATACAATATTAGTTTTCAGAATTATCGATTGCTTTTATTGATTTTATCGATTTTTTGGCAGAGTTCACCTACAGGGCTAGGAGTTGGCACAGGGGGGAAGTGAGCATGGGGATTCCGAATACAATATTAGTTTTCAGGATCGTCCATTACTTTTATCGATTTTATCGATTTTTTTGCAAAGTTTGACCTGCGGGGCTGGGAGTTTGCACAGAGGGTAATCGAGCATGCAGATTACGAATACAATATTAGTTTTCAAGATCGTCCATTACTTTTATCGATTTTATCGATTTTTTGAAAATTTGAGCTAGGGGGCTGGAATTTGGCACAGGGGTGTTCGAGCATGCTGATCACCCCCCTTGGGGATGATCAGCATGCTCGATTACCCCCCTGTGCGAACTCCCAGCCCCGTAGCTCAAACTTTGCAAAAAAATCGATAAAATCGATAAAAGTAATCGATAATCCTGAAAACCAATATTGTATTCGGAATCCCCATGCTCGATTACCCCCCTGTGCCAACTCCCAGCCCCGTAGGTGAACTCAGCAAAAAAATCGATAAAAATCGATAAAATCGATATCGATCGATGACGAAAAGTAGCCTATGACACCCGCCGCGGCCCGTAGTGTATGTGTGCCAAGTTTGGTCCGGATCGGTTCAGAAATGGAATTTTCTATTCGGAACATACGTACACACAGACATACATACAGACAGACAGACAGACAGACAGACATACAGACAAACAGACATTCAGCTTTATATATAAGATAACCTCTTGTAATGAAGTCTTTCGAGAAGCTTTAGGTGCCGTTTTGTAGAGCTGGCTTCAACTTAGATTTAAAGTAAAGCAAATCATTGATCACCTTTCACTACTGTACTTTTACGGTAGAAACTTCAAGTAAACGGTGTCGTTGTGAAAAAAGCTGCCGTTTCAAAAATTCTCAAAAAAGGAAAGCTTGTGTAATAAAGTGCAAAGCATTCTAAAAGGTGTAACCGCACTTTTCAGGAACCTTGAAAAAACGGCCGCTATTGCGTACCTCGCATAACTTTCTAATGAAGCATCACGATAACTTGCGAACTCCACACTTAGAACCAGCAACTCTAAATGGCCCGGAGTAAAAGTTTTCAGGCTGTTTCGTTCCCTTTCTAAGGCAAATTATGGCCTTTCATGGTTCAAAACCCTCATTGAAGTTTCTACCGTAATCCTACTGTAATGAAGAGAGATCGGTGATTCGCTCTATACTGTAAATTTGAATGGAAGCTAGCTTTACAAGGTACCTAAAGCTTCTCGAGAGACTTCATTACAAGAGATTTATCAACAACCTATCAGTAGGCAATTTTTTGGGACACCCTTGTAAGATGTTTTCGGATGAATGTTTTTTTTTCACAAGGTACTTCTTTCCTGAAAATTTTAAAGTTGCTGCATTGGAGAACAGAACCTTTTGATTCGTTTTGATTCATTGAGGGAAATTTCCGGAATTACCCTCAATTTTTTGCGTTTAAGAATTTGGCCTGTAATCAATGGAGTTTTTTAGAATCGACGCGTACCAAGCCCGATTTCCCGGCCTCTATGCAATCTATACCGAAACTCCTGAACGAAGGCGGATAAATGGTAAATTTTTTCCCTTTTATCATTATTGCGCACTCTTGTTCTTGTCTTCACATGAGATGTAACTTTCAGCCATGTTCGTCATCGTTTTGGTGACCTTATTTCTGGCATTTGTACATTTTTTCATGTCATTTTCCTTGCTATATGGTGCAGTAAAAGTAAGTTACTGCCTTATACTTCATACAGTTTGTTCCAAAAAATGTGCCTACTGTTTGATTGTTGATTATTCTCTTGTAATAGAATCTTTCAAGAATTTGAGCGCCGTTTTGTAGAGCTAGCTTCACTTAGATTTACAGTACAGAAACATAACCGATCGATCTTCATTACTGTAAGACTACGGTAGAAACTTCAACTATATGGTGTCCTTGTGGAAAAAGCTGCCATTTCAAAAATTTTCAAAAAAAAAGATGTGAGAACTCGTGTAATAAGGTTTTCGCGGACGCTATGATCAATACTCAACTATCAAGATTAAAAAGATTTATGAACGCTGTATTCGCACTTTTTAGAAACATTGATAAAACGGCCGCTACTGCTTAACTCGCACAACTTTCTAATGAAGCACCATGATAAGTTGCAAACTCCACACTTAGAACCAGCAACTCTAATTGGCTCAGAGTAAAAGTTTTCAGGCTGTTTTGTTTCCTTTCTGATGCAAAATATGGCCTTTCATGGCTCAAAACCTCTTTGAAGTTTCTACCGTAATCCTACAGTAACGAAGACAGATGGGTGATTCGTTCTATACTGCAACTCTAAGTTGAAGCTAGCTCCACAAAACAGTACCTAAAGCTTCTCGAGAGACTCCATTACAAGAGAGTTATTAACAATCAAACAGGCACCATTTTTGGGACACCCTGTATTTTATATTCACAACGCTTTGAATTTCATTTCTATTTATTTATATCGAGTTTCATTTACTCCTTTCGCTTTTATTTGTTTATAGTAAAAGTACGAATTTTTGATTTATCTCGTCAATTAACCCACTTTTTCAGTACAACAAAAACTTTATTTGGCCGTGGATATTCTCGGCTGGTCCCATCATTATAATGTCGACAGCATATGCTGTGATGTGGTGGAGCGGGGTGCGTTCTCAGCTGGTTATTTTCCCTTCTAACAAATCTTGTAGGCCATTCAGGATGTCTTCAACGAGCAGTTGACAATGTCTGTCGCAGAATTTGTGATGTCATTGGCTGTCAATGTATGTGTTAAGATTTGTTTTGTTTTTTTCATTCGTAAGCTTAAGGAAAAGAATTAAAGACTCATAATGAAGGAAAGTGGATCAAAACATCTGCATTTTGTTGAGACATCCTTCTCAATTGTGGAGTAAGCCCACAATTATTGAGTACTCCCAATCAATCTATAATTTTCTCGTAATCAATGATTAAATATTCAATGCATCCAAAATAATTCGAATTTTCACTGATTGAGTGACTGAATGGATTAGTAGGTCTATGTATCTTAAATACTGATCTTTAGAAGCTTCTTTACATTGTGTCGGTACAGAATTGGCAGGACATGGTCTTTCTGTGATAGGGCTTCTCAAAATCTAAAACATGTGCATTTCTATTAAGAACAAATAAGCTGGTTTCACGCTTTGATTATGGTTTTAAAACACGATTGTGAAATCTTGTGACTGAATCAAAATCAAATCGTTGAGAAAAGACCCATGTACATGGAGCAATTTTATCCATTCCAGGGCATATGTCTAATCATCGTCATTTTCTTCTATTCAAGACTGTCAGGACAACTGACATCGGACAAACCAGCACGATCACGAAGTAGCCCAGGAAGAGTGGTTTGTTAATAGAATATGCAAATATTGTCTCGTATTCTAATGAATACAAAATCAGAAAATTTTGAAAAAAGCAAGTACCATCCATGCTAGGATACTTTTTTTCTGAAATTATCGAGTATGTTAGTGGAAAGGAAGAAAATGATGTTTTCAAGAGAAAATCCATATAGACAATAATTTTATTGAGAAAGTTACCCAGCTACTGAGTCGTGTCACTTTTCTCAATAGGAATTTTCTGTGTGGTAGATGTTTGTAATCATAGATCTTTAAGAAGGTTTTAGGTAGAAAATAGTTGATATCGTTTTCCACTAATTTCTGATTTCGATAAACACGTGTTTTTGAGAGGAATTTAGATGAAATCAATAGATGTTTTTAGCCAAGACAACCTATAGGACTACGTCCAGTAGCCGTAGAGGACCGCCACCATCGTGGGCCACATTTCAAGCCACCTCCGCCCAATTTGCCTGAGTGGCGAGAGGAGTGGCCTTCTGTACCGGATGCGCAACTTCGGCGGAAGTTGCGCCAGAGAGATAGGAGAAGCCGTAGCCAACCTAGGGTTACTTCAATTCGTAGACCAGGCGACGAGAGCACGTAAATGCAGAAAAATATTTGAAACGGGTCTTCGACATTGAGATTTTCTTTCAGCCTCGATTTCTTTGCTCCCGAGCCCTATGACGAAGAATTTCCGTGGAAAGCGAGAAAACTGGAAAGAGAAAGGGAAAAGGAAAGAGCCAGGCCACATACAGCTGCAGAGGCCATAGAAAAGTTTGCTTTTTTTTATTCATTCAGAAATTCTTGTTCTATAGGAGCCCTTGACAATGCCCCTTCCACTCCCATTTCTTTCTCCCCTCCCGTTGTCCTGAAGATTCTTGTGCCTCTAAACCACTATTTTCAGGATCTACTACAACAAATATCCCGATGAGTTGCCCAGCATACCTCATGGAATGCGAAGCTCTTTACGAAAAGACCGAAAACGAGTAAAAAGTCCGGAGAGAGTGACCTTCAGCAGAAATGAGCCCGAAGTCAAATACAGAACACCTCAGGACTCTGTTGTATAAAAATCTACGTTTGGGTGTATCACTTTTGTGGCTTTTTGACTATGATCTCTATGCGATAAAACCTCATTGTTTTCCATGATAATTGTTGTATGATTATGCGAATTTTTTTGTACAGAGGGATCGAATGAAATTATATATTCTTTGATAGGTCCAAAATTGCAACAATTATAGAGGAAGGATTATAGATGAGGAATACGTCAGGTTTGCTCAACGACTTGCTCCTGATTCTGCAAGAATGGTTCAATAGTCCAGAACCACATTTGAGATTTTAAAAAAATCATTTCGGTGATGAACTATATAAGGCTAGAACAGCTGAAAAGTCTCCGATATTGTAATATTTTTTTCACTGATCCTAAGAAAAATTCCTTCATTAAAAAAAGTAAGCAAGTCGGAGGGAATAGGCGAGCTGTCAAGAGCAGACCACGCATGATGACACCGCTCTAATAAATGAACGCGTACATCAAATAGCTCCATCTGTAAGCTTTGAATCTTGCTGCCCCCTGGGGACGTTCAAAAATTGCGTATGACAGCCTTGTTCAGGCGCCATCGCGGGCAATTGGTATAAGTTTTCAACCAGCAATAAACGCACCTCGGCAGAGCCTCATTGGTCACGTTATCGCCTCTGCGCAAAGCTACCGACTACCCTGGGTAAGGCAGTCACAGGTAGGCCTGCTGCGTATACCTGCCGATTTGCTTATCTCACCACAACAGCGGGTAATGACTGCGTCGCAGTCGCGGGTTCGCACCCACGAGGCCGCGATAATCGGTAATTATCGCCTAGCGCACTTTCAGCGATCCTTAGAACGAATGTGGAACTTATCAACATTTTGGCATCGGACTTACTCCCAAGAAGTATTTTTCCTTTCTAGAGAATTTGAAAGGAAAAATGTAAACTTGTTTGCATTGGCTAATATAAAATTTGGATTTGAGTCTTGTAGTTTGATCAACAACACCTGGCGTGAGGTGACCTGCTAATCTGATATTTCGCTAATTTGATCTATCCCTTCGTCATTAATCAATAATTCGCTCACCATCTTTTAGCAAAAATTATTTTTTGAAAAATGGTATATTCAAGAGTAAAAAAACAGAAACCAACTAGGTGTAAATAATTTTAATCGGATCCTCCAAATTTTCAGAATATCTCAAGACTCCTTTTCCTACGTAAATGCTTGTGCCGCAGGTTTTGAATCCCAATCCTAGGAAAATGAGAAAAATGCAGGAGGGCAAGCAGGAACAGGAGGACAAACGAAACGAGTGGTACGTTTTCCCCTATTTTTTCTGCATCTTATATATAAAGCTGAATGTCTGTCTGTCTGTATGTCTGTCTGTCTGTCTGTCTGTACGTATGTGCGGAATAGAAATTTTTATTTCTGAACCGATTTGGACCAAACTTGGCACACATATACTTCGGGGCAGGGAGCGTGTCATAGGCTACTTTTCGTTATCGATCAATATCGATTTTATCGATTTTTTGCAAAATTTGAGCTACGGGGCTGGGAGTTGGCACAGGGGGGTAATCGAGCATGCTGATTACGAATATAATAATGACAGGGCCGGGCGGAGCCGGGTTTGCCAGCTAGTTTTGTATAAAACCGCTCAGAAGAGCGAGTCGCCGACGCGATCTTGCGACCACGTCACGGTCCTCAGCGCGACAAGTCGCGTTCTTCCCGCTCGCAACTCGCCCGTTTCCCGTTCATCGCGGTGGACAGGTGTCGCTTTTTGGTTGGGATTGCGAAATACACACTACAGAAATGATTCTGTATAGTATGATTTCAAAGACGATGTCACGACACAGCGCCGATGGTTGGGCTGAGTCGTAGGTGCAGCGGGTTGCGGTGGGCGTCACAGTACGCGTTAATGAGCTGGCGAGAGGCGAATGGCGTTAGCAAGACTGCGGCAATAATACAGAAAACTGTTCAAGGACTACAGATTGTCATATATAGGCGGAGAATGTTTTGCATAGAAGTTACTGACTATTCGCAAAATTAGTGCAATTTTACGAATTCGAAATAGAAAAGCCATAGAGTGTTTTTGCGCTTTCGTGTTTCCCAAGCATCTATACAGAAAAATTGCTTAGTTTAATAGTTTAATAATAAATAGTTTAATTGTATAGAGCATTCACTTTTGAAGCGAATTCGCTTATCAATCGCTCCTCGCGCTCCATTGTATATCTCGCCCCAATGGGACAGATCGAGAGTTTTGTTGCGGGTGGTCTAAATTGTTTATACAAACTAATCCAGCTGTTGATGCTCTAATGTAGCCGGATTGCTTTACTATTGTGTTCCAATGGATGGAGTGCCTTGTATAGAGGATCACCAAAGGGTTACCATCCTCATCCGTCAAGTTGGCCCTCGCAATGCAGCCGTTTTTAACCGAATCGTCGATCGTCTAGCTCGACAGCGATCAATTCAAGGTCAGTTGGCAATTTTTATAACAGAAATGGCAAAAGGTCGAGAATCAAATAGATTTCGTGCTCAAATTTTGTAAGCAGATATCTTTGTAGAATCTGATGATTTGTCTTTCCGTAGCGATCCTAAATCAGGTCAAAGCTCAAGGCAGTGTCCGGACAAAAAGTCGATTCTGAGATTTTGTGCATACTCGGGCCTAATATTCATATGCTGTATGCTAAAATCCACAGTGGCGAGTGCGAGAAAAAAGAGGCTCTAACGCAGTGGGGAATCAGCAGGTGGGATGGATCTTCCCTACTGTGAATTCGCGCTTCCAGCTTCCGGATCGATCTTCTAGATTCCACTAGCCGCCGTGACACCGCCACCGGCAAAGTGCGAAGGGTTGACTTGAAATCGGAATCGAGATCGCTCCGGAAGCTGGGAGAATTCGCAGTGGAGAAGACCCGCCTACCTACTGGCTCTTCTCCTGCGTTAGAGCCCCTTTTCGCCGTTTTCGCTTTCGCGTTCTGCAGTGTGGATTTTCGGATTCAACATAGCGAATAGGCCCGGGTAAGCACGAAATCTCATGACCGGCTTTTTGCCCGGACATTGCCTCTAAGCCGGATTGAGTTGAGACGTTGCGAACTTTGGGTAGAGTGGAAATTGAGGGGATTGATTACTCAATTCTTTCCGGTGTTGACATGCAGTGAGTCTGTGCTCCGCGCAGTATTTTAGCGAATTCAGAAAAAATACCATTTCGGCACCAAGTATTCTATAAGTGAATAGGTTTTGCAAAATTTTATGACGTAAACAGTATTATTTTTCAGTGAGTGATAATCCAAAACGCGTCTTTCATGCTAATTTTGTCACCAGCGTCAATGGGGAACTCGTACGGTTTGGGGAGCTACAGGTTCGTGGTCTCTTTTGTACTGAAAACTTCGTAGTTAAACTTTTTTTTCAGGCTCATCGACGAGTACTGGGACTTATTGGCGTTGCGTGCGCTCAGCCTTCAACTTCAGGGCCTCAATCACGGAAATCGGTACTGCTTTCGATCATTGCTGTTTGATCATTGTTGTCCTACCGAAATTGTCTTTGTTTGAAGTCTGTCAATGTCTTGAAGCCTGCAGCGGATGAAGTCGGTTTGGCCTCTAAAATCTCTCTCAGAAGGCGTTCATCTCTTGCCGGTGGAACGACAATGGATGAGGTCAAGAGCAACTATGAAAAAGTTAAGGTAACGCCTTAAAAATCGTTTTTTTTATAGAAAGTATGGAAGTCATGTACTCCTTCGTCCTATACCTAGCAAAAAAGTTACTATTGGTTTCAACTGATAGTAACATAAAAGCTCTATCTTTTTTTTACAGCGAGAATACGACAGTACGCTGGTTGATAGCCGATGTATACTTCTGGGATACGATGAGGTTAGCTCCATGACATTGCCATGCTTTTCCCATTCTTACCGTACGCTTTTAGCAAGACGTCTCCGCGCAGTTTTCATCCAGAGAAACGTTTCTTTTCCATCGACTTGAAGAATCTGATGAGCTGGAGACCGGTATCCGTGAGTTCATGAGAGCAATTTATTTTGTTCTGGAGAGCAAGCGGTTGGATCAGTCTTTCGAGAAACTGGTGAGCGCTTTGTTCTCTTGGTTTATTCACTTTTTTTTCAATTTCATAGGAGTGTCCACCATGCCCTATTTTGCCTGAAGAAGAGAAATTTCGAATTGGTTTGGAGAACAAGACATCTAAAATATACAGGTTAACTTTGTGGCTTATAGCTTCTGTCTCAGTTCTACTGTCGTTTCTAACTTTGATCGTGTTAGGCGCAAGTGTATCGGTCGTGCCCGAAAGCAGAACGCGGATTATGCTATGCTCACAGGGCTACCGCAGCTAGCTCTTGACTCGTATGCGGCGTCTATGGATATGCTCAGATCTTGCAATGACATGCTTTGGTTTGCTGGTAGGTGCACAAATTGTAAAAATCCGGTTTATTTTTAGATCGTATTTGTTGAAATATCAATTCCAGGCGCTTGTGAAGGTTGGGCATGTGCTGCCATGGCCCTCATTTACGATAGCCTGGCCTCAAGTGCCGTTATGTACCGCGTCGCTAGTATGACGCCTTCACAAATGAGAGATATCGACCATACGGGACATCTTTCACTAGGAGCAGCCATAAGTGCTGCAACTGCATTTCAGCATACTTTAGGGTAAACTTTGACTTCGCGCACTGCTCTTTTCCCTTTCATTTCCAAACTTTGTGATGATCCCTGCCATGTACCTTCAGTGTGTCACTGGGGCATCAACGACATCGTTCTGATGAAAATGCTAGAGTTATACCTGTTGCTGATGATGGCAGTGATGGTGAAAATCGTCGCACACGTTTGCCATGGGCTGTGCTTCGTGGGGAGAAGTGAGCATATAGCTTATTGTTAATTCTTTGTCGTAAAAGCTGCTATTTTCTTTGTTGACTCTTTTCATTTTTTTTATTATATCGTTCATGCTTTGGACTCAAGGAGAATTTCTGTGGGAACCATTCGCCATACGCAGCGCACCCTTTTACTGTCTTTGGCTCATTTTTGACCACAGCATTTGACTTATGGAGATACGTCAAAAGCTCGAAAGTGTCTGATAACGATAATGCTGCTGAGAGCCACTTCTCAAATACCACTATATCCATAGCTTATGGAGTAGTATTTGATTTCAGATCAAAAGAAAAAATTGAGCCATCTGCCATAATGGAGAAGTTTGAATTAGCTTTGGAGAATTATTCCAAATTCTCTTTTGCTGCAATGATCGAATATGATTGCATGATGAAAGCTGTTTCATTATTTCGATATCAGCGAATGTATGTTGAGATGGAGGTATAGCAGTTTTCTGTCTATCTACTTTGATTTTCCTTTCACTTTAGCCTAGGCTTTTGCAGAGTTTTCATCGTGATCACATTGGCAAATATCTGGATGATAGCTTCAAAAGGTTCGATAACCATACAAAAGCCGCTATATGTGCGAATTCAACAGTTCTATACAGGGAGGCAAGTTTTTTCATAGTACCCTAAAATCCGTACAATAAGTCCGCCTATCAGATAAGTCCGTCCCATCAGATAAGTCCGCAGAATTAACAGTTAAGTCCGCTTTCTTGACAACGAAAGTCGCCCTCGCGCCGCCAAAAGTCCTGCAGATAAGTCCGCTTTCTCATGCTCAGGATAGGCGAACTTATCTGCTGCGGACTTATCTGATAGTGGATTTAGGAGGACTTATCTGGTAGACTTTTGGCGGCGCAGAGGGCGTTTTTTCATCGATTTTTCGCGTCGAAACTGCAGATAACTCCGGACTTATTGTACGGATTTTAGGGTAAATCTTTTTGAATTTTACCATTTGAGGGTTCTTCGGGTGGCTCTATATTCTTGGATTCAGGTTGGTTTTCGTCGCAAATGTTCGTTCTTTGCTCGGCTTGGTGTTTTGTTCCGTTTGCAAATTGGTGAAGGAGAACAGAGAACTCCGCAAGATTACCGAGTGGTCTACCCTGTTTTGTATAGGTAATACTGTTTGTGTTTGATTTTTTCACTTAACGAGGTTTGGTCATGAAAAGCGGTGTTGCGTTGAACGTTTTTGAATCAATTCACTACACCTTATATCCACTTGATCATGGTTTTTTAGGACCCTTCCCGGTTATGGAATCAAGGAGAACGTGCGCGAAGTGCCTCAAGATGATGTGCTCAAAGGGCCCGTACAGTTGCAGATTAAGGCTTTGCACGAAGTTTACACTGCTGCATCGCGAGCCGAGCTATATGAAGCGGCAATCAGACATCTTTGTCACTTGATTCAGGTAAGTTTAATCAGTCTTTTTGACAAATTGTTGCTTTACTGCTAACATTGTATGCAGGTGTACTACGATGATATGGACCCACAACTGGCAAATCGTCTCTTTGACGATCTGCAAAATCTTGTACGCATCAAAGGCAGCCCACCTCAACTTAATCAGCGCATTTCGGTTCCGGTTGGTAACATAATCCTTCCTTCCATACAGTTGACAAGATTTCCTGAGGTCAGGTGAGCTTTTACACACTCCGATGTCTAATTTCTATCTAAATCTTTGTTTTAGTGACCCAATTTTGTGTCCCTTGCCGCCGCATTTGGCTCCGAATGTACTTCTACCGAAGTCTGGACAGCCACAGTTGTTCATTTACTCGCCTTTTCAACAAAAGAAATTATCAACAGGTAAAAATTCTTGTTTTCCTTGGCATCTTTCTGTTTTTCGCACTAGCCGCTTTGTTTTAGAAATATTCTGGGTGGTGGACTGCGCTTGTGAAGTATCTATCCTTGTTTATAATTGCCGACCGTATGAACTTGTCGTTAGGTAAGCGATGGGCCCACTTTGTAATTCCAGTCAGTTGTCCAAGATTTTCGTACCGTTACTACAAAAAGTATTATTAGGGAACTGTGTTTGCTTGCTGATGGTTGTGTCTTTGAATCAGTACCGGTACGGCTGATCTTGCCAGCTGCAAATGAAGGTGCTGCACCAGCTAGGATCAAGCTTATTGGTGTACCGAGGTACTGTAGAACTTAGTGCTTTTGCTAAAAATTTCTGCTGGGTAGTCTATATGGCCGCCTTTGAGGACGCCTGGCCTTCTTACCATAACGGGTTATTGCTGTGAGGTGTTTGGTGTGAAAAATGTTTGCAAACTTTATGGCCCAAAAGGACCTCTAAAGGTTGGTGGCTACAACTCCTTGATCGCAAAAGTCTGCATTTTTCACACAGGTCGAAGTGCTTCCATCTCTTGCTGTCTTACAACTGGTGTCGTCATTGCCAAGAGCACCTATCGAAGAGGATCAAAATGATCATAATGCTGAAATCACCGTGTATTCTGGGCAATTGTGAGAATTAGCTTGCAAGAGGTTCTTACGTGAAAAAGAAATCAGAATTTAGATTCGAGCATTCTCTAAGCGTCAAAAATACTAGCGCAAACATTGGAATCCGAAAAGTGCGATTGCAAGTGTGGCAGCCTAAGGTATTCTTGCATCTTACCATGTTATCTCGAAAACAAGGGGATAAAGTATTTTCGTTATGCAGGTATCTGGCGGTCCTTCAATGATCGAGCTAGTGAATGAGAATGGAGATATGGAATTTTCATTAGCTCCAAATGAAGAAAAAGAGATTAAATTCCGAATATTTGGCATCGACCCAACAGCCACAGCTGATGACGATGGTTCAGTTGATGAGAAGGTAGCGTTCACCCTTTTCTTATTATTTTATACTATGTTCCTTCAAGTACTTGGTCCGCTTGCAAGTTATGTGTACAGTTTGTGTGCGCGCACATTTTTTTTTTCATGTTATAGATCCACGTTCAGCGTGTATCACGCTTTGAGGCCTCTTTTTCAGATAGTAGAGACTGCGCTGCCCTTGGCTTCGACTCCGGCTGAGACAGATAACAACAGTGAAGCTCACGACCTGATCCCATATACGGGCAGATTACTGACGTGCCAGTTTCTGTTTCAGTACGTTGCTGATGTCGATGGTCTGGAAGGAGAGGTACATTTATATTTGTGATCACTTCGAGATGTGCTTTTCTTGTCCACATCTTTCCCTTAGTAGTGCATCTTCTTAACTGATGCTTGCAGTCATACGAAAGAAGTGCCCGTTTATCCATTGCGGTTTGTGTTGTACCAGCTGTTACGGTATCGGCTTGGCATGTGCTACCAGGCGATGGTCCATTCACTAGATATATCGTGGTCGATGTTACAAACAGTACCGACAATGATGCTGAGCTAGTATACAGTTCCAATCGGCGAATGAATGTGTTACCGAAGGAGACGTGCAGGTATAGTTGGCTTAGTAGCTTAAGAAAACAATGATGATGACAACCCTTCAGAGTCCCGCTTTTATCTCCGTGTTGTTCTGATGTTGCTGGGAGAGCATTCCATGCTGCAACGCAAAAAGATAGCCATATGATGCAGAAGCTTGAGGTTTGTGCCCGCTAGATTGCCAAATGTATTTCTGACAATTCTCTTTTAGGTTGAAAAATTACGTGCCACACTTGAACTTCACGTCGCCAAGCATCTAGACATTCGATGGGCTATACCAGCTATGAATGTGAGTTGACTTTTTTCTATGTATGTCTCTTTATCTGCTTTTATCACTGACTTCAGCTCGAGGGTTTGGTCCCGGTCGGTGCATTGCTTTCTTCTGTTTCACTGCTCAAGCAACTTGTACTACCAGCAATATCACTAGGTAAGTCTTCTAGCTTGTGTGCTTCTCTTTACCTTTTCGATTCCCTTCATTCTAGACATCTCTGTTAACGGAACGCCTTATCTGAGCGAAGATGACATTTCGGTGGGAATAGGGGAAATGGTGCTCATAAAAGTCGCTGTCATATCGTCTTTGGAATGTAAGTTTTATTTTTGAGTGGACTAGTGCAGTAATGAGATTATTTCATGATTTTTTTTTGCAGATGATTTCGACGGCATTCTGACGTTGGAGTGTTACCAAGAAATATCGAGCTTTTTTGGAACAGTGGATAAGGCCGAAAACCTCTTGATAATAGGACAACGGAAGGTCCCATTTGTGGTGCCAAAAAGTGTAAGTGGCTATTTTTGCTTTTAAAGGCGACATACAGCAACTTATTGCTCAAAATTAATTTATTATTTTTAGCCTCCAAATGTTTCGATGTCTACGCCGCAATGTGAGGTTTCATTCCATGTCATGTTCCGCGTTGAGGGAGTGCATAAAGTCCGGCCACAGATTGTGAGCAGACAAGCTAACGAGTCGCTTTTCGCTGATGAGGTGTTTGTTTCACCGGTTGGTTTCAGTGTGTCTACTAAGGCACATCAATAAATTATATATCTGCCATTTTTGGCATGGTTTGAAGTAATTAACCCAGGTATAGGTTTCAGTAGTTTATTCTATAACATTTCGTAGCGAAATTCTGTCATTAATAGAGGCGCTTAGAAACGCACCTTCCTGTTTCTATAAATTTTCACAAACATAAGAATTGGCAAGATACAGATCTTCATTACATAAAAATATATAATCTCCATGAGTAAATACTTATCACACGAATACCCGGATACTTATCAGTAAGCTTATGAATTATAGGGTTCTCTAAAGCATGACTAAAGAAAGGTTAAAGTCTGTCTAAATCGAATTAGGTTATCACAATGAAAGAAGCAGAAGTGAATGAATTTCGCAGCCCGATGCAAATGAAATAAACTCTGAACATATACAACAAAGTAAATATGTTACTTAATTGTCTTCTCAGCCGATGTTGATGAACGATCACGTTTTTGTAACGAGCAACCACTTTCAGAGATTTGTATCAGCTCATCACTCTCAGAATCTAATGATTCGCTTGAATGTGGCATGGGTAGAGGAGCTAGCCTTGGACCTGAATGTGTTCGGGATGACTAATGCTGACCAAAGATATGGTCTAGGCAGAACTGCGAAAATGGGATTCCTACTATGCCACACCGCTCTGGCGCGTATACTGAACTCGCCGTCAACAGATTGTGCCGTTAATATCAGCGGCAAGAACAACAAAGCAACAGTGGGCATTGAAATTTTTGGCACATGCCACTTGATCCGTTTCTCCACTTCGCCACTGGTCATTTCCGCGCATTGACCAATAACGAAGTGGAAGAAGTGAATCAGGTAAGGCGCGTGCCTATGAAGATCGAAAGTAAAACTCGTCAGTAGAGACAAAATATGTAGATTCAGAAATTTTTCGTTTTGCCCATGCAGATTAAGCTCGTAATGTCAACTTGAGGATGAGGAACCTCAGATTTCCCAGTTTTGCCTGGACTCTATCATGTAATCACACAGAAAAGCCAAAAAAGCAAATAGCATGTGAATTTTGCATAAAAACATCTGCAACAATTTGGATTACAACCCACTGCCCATCACGCACACACCAAGCTATACGAAGGAAACCAGGAAATCCCCGTGTTAAGCTTCTCCTCACAATGTTAAAGTATTTTATATGAGGACGTACTAATGAATTTCGTTCCTGTTTGGATTAGACGTCATGAAGTTACTCTCAAATAGAAAAGTAACAAAAAGTGTTAGTTGCTTTAGTAAACCTTACCGTTTCGCATTCGATAAGCTTCTTTCTCTAAATCATCGGATTCGCTACGAAGCGCGGAATACCTAAAAAACACTCGAATCGATAAAACACGAGAGATAAGTAGGTGCACAACCACCTATAATACTCAAAAAATATTGACATATATGAGAACTACCCGTGTATTCTGTGATCGAAATCGGTATGAAACTACAAATACCACCCATGCTCGTAGGGTAAGGCATGACTTCAGTATCCGTAAGACCACAGATCATGCGCGTTATCAATATGATATTTTCATGCCAATCAAGTGGTTCGATAAAAAAAGATAACAAAAGCAGTAAATCACATGAAATCAGTCATCAGTACCTCTTTCGCCGTCTAAATCGTCGTCTGCCCACGCGATTCCATACCGCTGACCGTCTTCTCAACAGAACACACATTACGATCATAGCCGTTAATGTTGAGGAAACCATCCAGAAATACACAGAAGACCATGCTGAAGAAAGTGGTGACATTATCTAAATGGAGATGTAAAGGAATGTGGATTACCCAACACTCACCACAATTTTCGGTTCTGAACCCGAATACAAGATACGCGAATACATTGACCATCCAGAAGCTATCGCATTCGCATTGTTTCGTTGCATCACTGCATTTGCCATGACCCGAACAATCGAGTTTGCAATCTGGAACAGGTGCGTTAGAAAAATAGCATTTGCAGTAGCCAACAGGCTTACATAATGTCTGGATAAGAGAGATGTGGAAGTCCGAAAGCATTCTGGCTTCATGACGAAGTATGTTCACAGCTTTCCGTGCTTTGACTACGGTGCCGAGAAACTCTGCAGTAATCGCTCGTCGATGTTTCATTGTTCTCTCTATACCAATCATGATAACAGAAAAAAACAGTCAATGCAAAAAGGAGTTAGATAACTGCTCAAAGCAATATGGAGCGTTAGTGCGCATAAAACCACGAATGAAAGGAATTACCTTGTTTAGATCGACTTCTCGCCCAAAACACTGCTCTTAGCCTACCATCCTGCGGCAATTCTTCGAATTTTGTGAAGTGCACTATGACCGAGTCTACTTCCTGAAACACAAGATTTGAAAAAAAAATGCCACTTGGAACCGAACGATCTAACGAGCAAGGGTCGCGAAGACGAAGTGGCCAATCGTCACAAAGTGCACGCGCTTAATGAGAGCTTGAATGTTGATTCCAAACCTTCCTTCAGTGTCAGCAGAGCGTGTTTGGAAAAGATGTTAAGAGCATTCTCTAAGGCGGAAAAATGAATTAATGGCCGGGATAAGCTCAACTGTTACAGTCTTTTTAGATTTCACATGGAGAAATGGGAATACTGAGCTACTAGAAAGAAGGAGAGATTTGAAGTATCCTGACACTTGTCGCTGCTTCATTTATAATCTGGATAGGCTGTAGCAAATCATTTCATTTCGACCACATTCAACTTTCGAATTCGAAATGCTCATAATTTCTTTTACAGGAGCGTCCTGCAGACAATAAGAGCAGATTTGAAATTCAGCGTTCCGTCTCGCTATTAGTTTGCAATTTTTGGTGATCTGCCACTTCCACTTCGTGACTCTCCCTTGCAAGAAAGGAGAAGTGTGAATACTAAAACATACATCAATTGAACCGGCCAGACTTGCTTCAATTCTGTCCTGAAGTTTACGACGAAGACGATAGGTCCATTCTTTCACGTTCTTGTTCATCAAAATCTCTACTGATTCTAAGTCTTCTTCGCCTGAAAAGCCAAAGAATACGGACTGCCTGACACTATATATGGAAGTCATTGACATGCTTTCTGCTAAGCTCACCTTTCGAGACAGTAAGTTCAACGATAATGGAGTCGCTTGCTTTTTGCTGATCAGACACAGTGAGATTGTACAGATGCTTCCCTTCAACTAACCCAGTCACGAACATAACATTTCTGCGTTCCGAACCATCAAGTGGAATCTACAAAGGGTTTTCTGAGTAACAAGAAACTAACTCGGGGGCAATAAAAGGCAAACCATAGATGCCGGCACATCATCAAAAGGCTGCCACAGATATGATACTATTCCAGCATCATCGCTGGACTGTGAAGCATTCAAGATCGCTATAGCTGTCGGCAGTAGTACGGTAACATTGAAGGCTCGCGCAACTGGGGGTTCATTTTTACCTAAAACGGAGCTCATTTGATTAATCAACGCTGTAAAAATGAAAGCATACTTCTTTCCACGCTTATAAATGCAGATGCGTTGGCTTTCAGACCTCCATCATCTACCACAACGAGCATGAACACGTAATGACCCTCTATCAACCCCGATGCCGTTGCTTTGGCTTTGTCGGCATTCACCAACAGAGCATTTGCAGGACCTCTTAAACAGAAAAGAAGTAGAATTCCGGATTTCAGATTGAATAGAAGCCTTACGAGACTTGTGTCCACTGGTAGCTAACAATGCTGCCATCGTCCTTAGCATTGCCATTAAGAACGATGGAAGATTCGGGAAGAAAGATTGTATGATTACCGCCAGCATCAGCAACTAAAATTGTGATTTCATAAGACCAGAACTCAATTTCACACGGTAACACGGCAGCATGGAGCCATCAAAGAAGAACGGAGAATAATTGAATTCATTAATTTAATTCAAAAAAAAACATAACATAAAAGTGCGGAATTCAAGAAACAACTCGCCTGGAGGCAGATTTTGAGCTTCGTTGACAAATATACTAATTCGTGCTGAGTCCTTTTGCCCCTTTGTATCTGTTACATCCAGTTGGAATTCGTATGGACCAAAACGTTCATTAGCTTGTATGTTTCTCAAGGTTAGTATGCTCGTTGTTGATCCTAAATATTGTGATAATTGGACGGAGATTGATAGTAAATGATATATGGATCTCAAACTAACCAGCAAGGTCAACAGAAAGTTTTCCCGACAGTTTATCCACACGAAACCAGTTATAGGACACGATACCCTGCAACGCAACATTATCGAAATCCGATAAAACTAGCCAGTGAAACTAACTTTATCGTCCTGTGATGCATTTCCGCACAGGCTTATTTCTGTTCGTGGAAGTCGTACAGTTAAAGAGCCAACATGATCCTTGCTTCCGCATTCATTGATGTGAGCCTTCGGAGGATCATCTCGTTCAGCTTCAATGATCACCTTTGCAGACGCCGTCGACGTAAGTCCCCCACTATCGGTAACCAGTACGCTGAACAAATGGAATAACAAAATCATTGAAATAACTTCAGCAGTCGTCCTGTCATCACTCGCTTTGTGTAACTGCACTGCTTTCGAATTTGCACAGGTAGGCCGGTGTCGCAAATACTCAGTAACGCTGCAGAACACATTTCCGGGCGGAAGGGGGGGGGGAATGGAAACTTCTATAGGAATGCGTGGCCTTGCTATGTCCTAAGTAAGGTTCCCAGATATTTTGCCTTCAACAGAGAATTCTCAAAAAAGACCAGACTAGCCGCCGAAATTTTTTAACAGAGCTGAATGTCTTCTGAAAATTTTGGAGATCATTCAGAAAAAAAAACCATGTATACTCCGAGAATCGTTCAAAAAAAAAAAAACAACCATGTATACCACAAGAATGGGTCACGAAATTTCTAATGCTGCTTAAATTTGTAAAAAGTAACGAGTGATTTTTTCAAACTTGTAAACAATAAAAAATTCAAAAATCTCAGTCAAGTTAATTTTGCGAGTTTTTTCCTGCAAAATTCAAATTAATCTTTTGAAGAAAAAGAGATTTGTGCCCCCACACCCCTATTTTTCTCAGAATCCGTGGGTACAGACCCGCAGGAACTTTGCAAAGTGTCTCAAACTTCCACTTATAGGAAAATTTCTCGGACCGCCATTGCCTAGATATCATAGTGTGACAACATTTCATTGGACTCTTGAGCAGATCCGAGCGAAAACTCCAACTCTGATCAGTGTGCGCTATTGGTAATTATATTTGGAAAAATGGGAAAAAAAACAAGCTACAAGCAAAGATACCTGAAAACATAATTGCCAGCAACCATGTTATCCAATGTGAGAATAGGTGTGTTCATAGCTGGGAGTGGTATACTGGGTCCCTTATCTTGGGTCCATTTGTAAGAAACTATCTTGTCGTCATCGATGCTTCCTAAAACAACGAAATATCAATTCGAGCTTTTAGCCCGTTAAATTGAATGCACTACCTTCTGCATCTAGAGTCAACCTAGAGCGCTCTACTCCATGAACAGGCGATTCGGGACGGATAATCGCCTTTGGTGGTTTGTTAGGTGCTTTAGGCGAAATTACACTGAGTGAGTAAGTCTGTTGACCAGAGTGCGTTTTGTTAGCTACAGTGACGCGAAACTGCATTTTTCCAGGTTTCAACTAAAAGAAAAAAATTCCTTATTTCCTCAAAGAGGAAATGAACCAAGAAAAGACTTATTATATAGTCAATGAAGCAATCACCGAATCATAAAAATTCGAAAACCAAATACTAACCTGTGACAGTTCTAGTACAGAGCGTTTATAGGAAGAAGCAAAAGCGAGCCCTGAACCTTGTAGCAGCTCCCACAAGTAAGAAAAATTTCGCTCTAGAAATATTTCCACTAAAAAATATACCAAACAGATAAGAAAGGAATTGTGGTACCTTTGGGAGAGTCTTCGTCTGAAAGAACTACTTTCGCAGAAACAGAATCTATGGGCAACTGAACAGTAGTCGGACCATCAACGAAAAATTTTATGGCACTCTGAACATGGACTTCAGCTAGAAGTTGAGAATAAAAACAGCAAAAACAGACTCACCGAAGGGGTTGAGGTTTCTACCGAAGAATTTGAGATCTTTGAGATCGATGAGTTAGAATTTAGTGGAAGGCATGGTGCACCGCGTAGCTCGCGGTGGTATCCAGCGATGCATACACAGATACCAATCTAAATATAAGAAATCAGAGCATTCTTTAGTAACGAAAATCCTCAGCCATGAGATAAATTTACAATTTCTTGAGGCACCTATATTTTTTGATGAATAATTCGAACTGTACAGATTCTCGTCGCTATTTCCAATGTAACAGGGTAATTACCTTGTCGGAACCATTTTGCTGTCTACACTCCTCGTGTCCTTCTGAAGAGCACGGCGAACCGGTTTCAACATCACAAAGTTCATCCTCCTGAATGACAAAGTTGATTCGTAAAAATGAAACGCCTGCATTTGCGATACATTTTCTACAGAAATATACTATGTATGCAAGAGACGCTCAGATTTCCGGAAGACTTCAATCTTAAGCCATATCAAAAGCCATGCTCACATCCAAAGCATTGGTAGATCAGCAAGAGGCGAGAAAAACCTTGCCAAAGAGTTATTTCCCCCCACTCGAAATGTGGGTGGAGACTACTAATTAATTACAATTCAAACCCTACCAAATGTCTAGCACTAAGGGACCCGTCATACTTCGCCGAAAAAACCCCAAAGAAGCCCGAAAAAGCCCAAAAAAGCCCAAAAAAGCCCGAAAAAGCCCAAAAAAGCCCAAAAGCGCCAGAAAGAGACGGAACACTTCTCGCACGTTTTGGCGCTAAGGCATGTGTGTTGACTTCGCAATCGAGCCTTTTTGTCATTTTCTATCGTCCGCATGATAAGATAATGTCAGAATTCTACCAAAAGTTCGTTTCTACATTCCGGCTCTTTCTGGCGCTTTCGGGCTTTTTTGGGCTTTTTCGGGCTTTTTTGGGCTTTTCTTGAGCTTTTTCGGGCTCTTTTCGGCGAAGTATGACGGGTCCCTAAGGATTTTGTCATCAGATGAGGGTCGTTCATACTTCTCATAACTTAAATTCAAAACACACGGATCATCGCGCGCACGTGGGAACGTAGAGACGTATCAACAAGAAACTAATTTCAAAGATGAGTGGTGAACTTGATATGTGAGATTTTTGGAGCTATCCGCAAGATCCACCAAAATGTTTGACTATTTAAGAGCAGTGGCTGAGTGAACACCTCAAAATTGAGGATGGAATAGAATAAGGTATATGGAAAACAGTACATTACAACCTGTACTCACCAACAGTTCATCCGCTGTAATTAGTATTGGTACAGCTGCAAGCAAGAGGAAGACGCGGAGGCTGCGAGCGTTTAGACCCATTTGCACAGACAAAATCAGAAATGTAGGCACCCCATAGCTGAAATAACAAGAGCAGCATCTCTCTCTACCATTTTTTTGATAAAAAAAATAAAACTCACTTTATTTGGAAAAGCCGCCGTGAAATCGTGCCACGAATTTCAGCCGGAATTTTAATTTTTTGTTCTAGAGCATAAATCAGCGTTAGAGCATGAAAGCTGCCAGCTATTTTTTTATTCAGCTTTGTGTAGGGTATTCTTATTTCTCTTATGAAATCTACTTCATTACAAATAATCGTCATGACTTACTGCACTGATCGTCATCTGCTCCAAGTCCGACACTCACTAATCTTGCAAGTCCACATTCTGACGCTTTTCCCTGCTCATAATCCTCGAAATTTGTCCCATTGTTTGAAAGCCAAGTTCTCTTGCTAGTTCACATCAGCATCATTCCTGTATCCCATATCTGCATTTTGACAATATTTGTAGGACCCAGTATGTCCTCTGAAGCAGAAACTCCAGTGACAACAGCTGACGGGTCGGGAAATGCGAACACATCGTTGACCAGTGCCCAGGAGAACGAGCAAAGGCAGTATGAAAGGCAGTATGATGATAATAGACAAGAAATGTGGAGCGAAATGCACGAAAGTGTGGGTTTTCATTACTTATTCATCTTGATCAGGATTTGAGAGGCATCATAATTTTCGATATTGATTTTTGCTGTAGCTAAGCCAAGATGGTATGATCTTTTTATTGATGGCTCATAATTTTCCCTGATTTCTGGCATATCTCCCATATTAGCCTTCTATATTTGAATAAGTACAAAAGTTCCTAAACACATATTGCTTAGTTGAAGTGTCTGTATTCGTTACGGTTACCAAGGTTCTAAATTGAACGGCTGGCTCAAACGCAGAATTACAGCGATTTATGACAATAAAATTTCCGAATGGTGAAGTATCGGCTTAAATCTGCGGTTAGACACTCATAGTTCGGATTAAGAGCAGCTATAGAGAGCAATATTCAGTTGAGACGGCAGCACCTTTTTCGAAATGTTGGCCAGATCCAAATTTTCTAGAGCATGTTTCGAGGCAAAATCGTGCTTTTAATTCGCGTAAAATACGCCAGAAATGTAATGGCCTTTGTAACAGCAAAGGTTAGTTGCTGTGAACCATAATTTGAGTTGAACCAGGACTCAAGAAGGAAATATATTAACAAACAAACAGTTTTTTTGGGGTGTTCTATGTAATTGTGAATTTGGATATGGGCATACTTGATTTTTTTTACTAGAACTAGATAGAATATTCTTCAAATTTTTTTGTCGTTCCAGAGCGCCGCGAACAGTCCGTCAACTTCTACCATCACTTACAAAGATGACCATAAATTCAAAACTCCTGCGGTTCCACCACGACGTTTGAAGGATCGACCTCACGAAGCCAATGGTTCGCGCAGTAAGCCAAGATCTACACTTCCGGCCGCTGTTCGTCATTCTTCTTTTTTTTTTCTTTTTTTGGATATGCATAGCACCAGCTTATATTATAGCTTATTGGGCGCTTGCCAGACCCACTCGGGGAAAATCGACGCATTACCGACCCTTCTACTTTGGATCTAGAAAGTAAGACCTTTAGCTTTAAAATCTCTTGAGGATTTTGAGGTTTTTTTAGCAGATATTTCAGGTCTATATAAAGAAGCTGATGCAGAGGTGACGAGAGTGAACTTCAATGGTGATTTGCTCCTCTTGCCCAGTATACTAGTCCATAGTGTAAGTTGCTGAAAATTCTTTCATTGATGGATTCGAAAGATGTCTCACATTTTCAGGATTATGTTTTTCGACAAGTTGTTTGCGCGGAGACCTACTATAGTCTTTCTGAGGAAGCAAGAAATCACTTAAGGGTCAGTAAAATCATCTCAATATCTATAACGTAGTCTTATTTTCACCATTCTAACAACATCTTGTTTCTAGCAGTTTCTACCACCAATCAAGACGGTAGCTGAGGAACAACATGCATTGTCGTGTGCTTTCACTAAGCGTATGGACCTGGTCCACGGTAATCCTATAGACCGAGTCCAGTCCAAGTTGAAAAGTGGGTTACTCAATAATCTGTAAAAAATCTCTTTAATGCATACTTAGATGGCTGGTTCAATCCTGATCGACCGTCACAACAGAATCAAATTCGAGACAACAATAAAGTCTTGTATGACCACTATATACGATTTTATCACATGAATCTCCTCAACAAGCTTGTCAAATCGCGTCACGTAAGCTTCATTTGTTTTCTTTTTGTTTGTTTTTGTATTTCTGCGTATAAGGTTTTGCGTTCACGAGAACGTCTAAATTCTTCAATGCCTTTTCTGTGCTAGTTGTTCGCTAATTTCATCAAAGAAGCAATTTTAGACAAGAAACCTTTTTTTATTATGTATAAATTTTTTGCTAGGAGAGATTTGCTACCCTTTGTCTACATGCGTTGTTCTAAGTCTCTTTCGACTTGCGTGAATATACGGCCGTTTGCAGGCTGTTCTGCAGCATTTAATGTCGACTAGCGCATTGTGCTCGCCAACGAGGCAGCCTATAGATCCAGAAACTATGAAAAGACGGAATGACATGGAGAGAATTCGACTGCGAGCAGCTAAGCGAAGCAAAGCGTGAGTATGCTCTTTGACTCTTTTTGCTATGAGTATTGTTTTTTCTCCGCTGTCAATTCATGATAATAGCTACAATGGCATTTTTTTTCAGAATGATAGCCGACTGTCGCATGAAAGTCGGAGAAGCCGGCGTCTCGAGTGACGAAGAAGGTTCATTCACTCGTCTAGGTTTAGAATTTTGACACTATATTTTTCTTGGGTTGAGAATCTGGTTGTTATGGAGTACTTTTTTATCCTGACTCGTTTAAGATTCAGATGAGGACGTCTCATTGCCAATTAGCAAAGGAGTTACATTGCACACTGCACGTTCTACGTTGTTTACACCAAATATGAAAGGTAAGTTCTATAATTCAGTGTTTTTTTCCGTTTTTTTTTTCAGTTTTGCGAGCACAGTTTTTCATTTCAGACCTTGATCTGCATCAGCCTACTCAAATGGACGATGTTAAAACTATGCTCAAAAAGTACAAAAAGTTGAGGAGAGAGGAACCTGTCAGTTTTGAACCCTACATCCAGGCTTACTTACAACTATGTTCTTTAGCATGCACCTAGCCTAGACATCACTGGCATAGACTTAGATGATGTTTATGAACGAGCTGGTGTATTGGCACAATCAGAGAAAATCAAACAAACGATGGAAGCATTAGAGAAGAATCTCAAAAAATAGTCTCAATTGACTTCGGGTAGACTACAGGTTGTACATATTTTCTATTTAGTTTGTTGTTGATCTTTAAATTTTTTCGCCCTTTCACATTTTATAATCTCTGTATCATCAATTTTGCAGCTTTGCTCGAGCATAAGAATATGTGCAGTTTTTTTTTGAAATTTATTTGTTAAGCTGAATAAAATTTTATCTCAAAAGTTCGAGAAGATTCAAGCGTCCCACCATGTCGGTACCAGTCCTTACCTTTTTGAGCCCATGCATTTTGTCCTTATTCGAAGTCGACCCAAAAATGAGGAAACAATTTTTTGACACGGTGCCAACTTTGTGTGGAAATGCTCTTCTCCTTTCGTATTTTGGCTATCTCGCTTCTCTATTATCATCATAGGTGCGATAGTCTGAGAGGAGTAAAAGTGTAGGAGGTCTTTGCTGTTTTAAAGACAGTGTATTGGCAAAATGGACCCTTCTCATTTTGGTGGCGCTAGGTAAATAGTAGTCTCCTTACCTAAAGAGACGCTATAAAGAAGGATTAAGCTCACTTTTGCCATGTGTGTAGATGTTTTGCGTTTGGTAAAATTAGAAAAGTCCCCACTCCAAAAAAATTCTGAGACAGCGTAAAATGTTGGCCAGAGCTTGTACTCATACTCCTACACCACTTAGAAGAACCCATACATTTGTCAAGGCCCGATAGGAGGACCGACACAAACTGTCGCTAAACAACGCGCAAAACCCAAGCGGCAGCGTTCAAAGACAACAATTAGTGGGACCTTGTTCCAACGGTTTTAAACATATTGGCAATCTGCAAATTTGTCAGTTTACCAGTCTTGCTTGCTACTATCCAATCCGCCTACATATGACAATAACATTCTGCGGTATATAGACCAAATGCGGAAAGTGCAGTTGCCGAAAATGCCGATTTTTGCCTCTCAGAAAACTTTGCTTTGAGAGGTTATAAAATAAAGGGAATTAAATTCGCTTCGAAAACGAACAACGATTCTCTTTCGAACGGTCAGGTACTTGACATAAAACAACCGCTTCATCGAGAAATGGCTACAAAATCAAAAAGTCTACGGACTTATGAAACCACCTAATAGAATAGGTTTTTTCAGCAACGTTTGTAGGAATGAACGAAAATCTCAATCTGAACCTAAATTAGGATGATATATGTGTTGTATCCCTCAGGATTGTTTTCTTATAAACCGTCAACGTCGCTGTCTTTCGATCATTTCAACATGTCAACTTCGAATAAGCGCCTCAGATTTGCTGGAGTTAACGTGTTAAAGGCAGTGCGTCGGCAGAATGAGACCCGTGGCAAAACAAAGTCACAGGGTAGGAGCCCTCATAAGGAACCTATTGGCCAAAGACCGGTCTTTCTCTGCCACTTCTAACCCCCGAAATTTCAAAGCGAAAGCAGCGCTAATCTCCTGTTCTCTCCGAACCCGCCCACCCCATGGACGAGTGACTTCCACGGTCAGAGCGCCAGCCGCAATGCTATAAGCATGAGGTCCCGCAACGACTCTGCGTCTTCGCCATGACGGGCTCCGCGTTCACTCGTCCATGGGGTGGGCGGGTTCGGAGAGGACAGGAGATGAGCGCTGCTTTCGCTTTGAAATTTAGGGGATTAAAAGTGGCAGAGAAAGATCGAACTTTGGCCCATAGGTTCCATTATGGGGGCTCCTACCTGTGACCTTGTTTTGCCATGGGTCTCATTCTGCCGACGCACTGCCTTTAAGCCTTATCCCAAATCATCACGGTTTTCGCACTGTAGATCGTTGAATATGAATAAATAAATAAATAAGTAAATAAATAAATAAATGACAAGTTTAAAAGATCGAAAGGCAGTCACATTGATGGTTTATGTGGGAGAATTTCTGGGGATGCACGATAACTTGTGGGGCCTGGTGTTCTGAGTCTATGAGTTAGCCATTCTTGGGACTGATCCTTTTACCTTGTTATCCTGCCTTGTTTTATCCTGAAAGTTCTTGACTAGATTTTCATTCATATCATTACATACGTAAAATGGGGAGGAATGGGGAGTGATCATCAATACCCTGGGAGTGGCAGCTCATCTGACAATGAGGAGGTTGGCTGCACCTCTCTATCGATTGTCAGACTATGCATCAATCATTCTTTGATTGAGAGATACGAACATGCTTTGCTTATGTCTGTTAACAAGTTTATGAGTGCTTTTTGACGCGTTCTGGTGAGTTACTATTAGGAATTCTAAAAAAAAAGTTCGGATTTGCATTGTTCAGCAAGCTCGAACATGTTCTTCCAAGAACCTAGTAGTGAATAAACCAAAATGCGTTAGAACACACTCATGAACTTGTCTTTGAATTTTTGAAAATTTTTGAAGATCATTTTGATTAACAAGTAAAAGCAAGCCCTCTGCACATTTTTATAACACATTTAAGTAACTTTCAAAAATTTCGCGACCCATTCTCAGGGGGGGGGGCGCCTCCCCACCTCCTTTCGGTACGCCAGTGCTGGATAACAAACTTCTGTTGGGGGACCTAAAAAAGGCATGAAATCACACATAAAATGACGGAAACGGTACAACTAGTTCAAATTTAGATGTAGAACATGGAATTTTGAGCGGAAAGGGAAGCGTGGTTTTATGTTTTCGCTACTAACAAATATCGACATGAATGACCGGAATTCCACGACATTTGATTTTATATCAATCATATGTATTCCCGAGTTTTTTAGTTGAAAATTTGTTGTTGTGATTGAGATGAATGAGTATATCATAAAGATGTTTTCAGGACATGTACAAGACTTGGAGTATTTGGGGTACTTGTGATTAGAGAGTTGCTAGATAAACCACTAGTATTCTTCACATTATATTTTTGCTTGTGTTGAAGTATAATCAGTCTGAATTCTTAAGGAAGATCTGGGCAGAGGCCGTTGGTATTGCAAGGACGTTTTGATATTGGTTGGCATTTGCCACTTGAATTCCGATTTGGAGAAAGCCTTTTCTTTAGCTCTTCATTATTGAAGATTAGGTCCAGCTTTTGTGCAGGGTACCGTGAAAGTATGGGAAACTAAGATGAAATACAGACTTATACAACCGATCGTTGATATTCTGCATGAATATAGTGTTTTCTTCTATGTTTAAAGACAATTTATGAGATCTACCTCCAACCCAGATATTCGCGAGGGCAGGCGGGCATGCAAATTTTGAGCAAGCGGGCACCGGAAAAATAGTTCGCTGACTTCTTGCGGCCCGCTTGCAGAAATTTGGAAGAATGTTGACCAATTTTCAGAAAATGCTCGGAGAACTATCGCGGCTTTCCTATAGATTAGTTGCGGCGCATTTGCCGCATTCTCGCGACTTTCCGCGAGAATATGCAAAAGTATTGAGGGCCGCGCTGTCCTTTGCGGAGATGCACAGCTCTCAGGTACTTTCCGCTAAGAGAAAGTACCTCAAACTTTGGTAATTAAACCATCGATGACACCTCTGCAGCATAGAGTGTCACATTTGCTCGACGTACGCCCGAGACTGCTCAAAAAGAGTCCGAGCGGCTGCTGAAAGTTTGGCCAGCGCTCTCTGAAAAAGATTATTTGACGAGCGCCCGCAGAAAACTGTATTTTGCCAGCAAGACATTCGACAGTAAAGGAGGTACCGCTCGCTGAAGGTTTGGCCACGCCCCAAAATTCTGCGGACCGTCTGCCTCCCCCCCCCCGCGATTATATGAGAAAGAGAGAAGAATTTTGGTTTCGAGAAGCAGATAAAACCTAGGGGTAAAAATCTAAAGCAAAAAGGAATAATCTCCTCCTCTTGCCCGACGTTCCCGGTCGCCTTAGCATGCGAGTATCTCGGTCTAAATCGCAGCAATTTATGTCAGCACAGATGAAGTGGATGTCGCAGGAAGACTAGACGAAGGACGTGGAGTTTTTTCAAGATGAGGAAAAATGTGTAGCTGCACATCACAGTTACAACATCAAAGCGCTCACGTACCCGTTGTAGTATCCTCGTTGGACAGCAAAACTTCATCAAAAACATGCTTCTTAAACGTCGACCGATGCTTAGTAAGAGGAAGAAGGATAATTTAGTATGTACCGATTTCAAAAATGTGACTCCGATTCTGTTGATGTTGGTGAGAAGGAGCCTAAACATCTGACAATGAGAAGCAATATTTCATCTCTTCTGGAGATGGATCGCATTATACGTCAAGACACGTTGTGGCGATGTAGGAATTTGCTGCTATCGAAGATGATCAACTCAGCAGTATCAGTCTGCATCACAATGAGCTTAAAAGTTCCACAGCCTCCTCTTTATCCAATCACGAGCTGGCATCCCGGGTTTCACCCCGTTCTGAGAGCCAGTCCATCGTGCTTGGTCTTTCATGTAGCGAAACCTACCCTTCTTTTGATTCCCGAGTCTCTTGAGTCCGCTCCTATCGTTCTTATCATATTTTGATGACCAGCAAAATGAGCTTGACCGCTCATCCTTAATAACTATGCGAAATGTGCACAGACACACGAACATATATGGAGATTGGGTCCGAATGGAAGACGGATCTGTTCCTGTTTGTCGAGTGCTTTTCCTTCGATTTACCGAATTTCTCGACGGCATCAAAAGGAAAGAAGTTTATGTTTAGGCGACGTCTTCACATGGAAGCACGGATTTTTAGAAGAGAGGTATGCCCATGCGCATTTACTTATTACTTGAGCATATGGGATTGGCACCGCTGAGAAGATAGAATCTCTCATAGCAGCTGAATCTGTCTAGATACCCAGCAGCTGACGATGAGCAAAGAATTGCGTCTGATCTTGTTGGAAAATCATACATTGTGCGTCACAAAACAGGTGCAGATGAATGCTTTAAGGGCTATTTCAAGCCTATAAAGATGCACTGAGTTATGTTATGGCGGTTATCCGTTATCTCATAGTAGAAATGATGGAAGGTTCTGTCCGTTGGAAAACTGGGGAAAACATTTGCCTTGAACAGAAATTTGTACTAATAACTATCTATTCGTTGACGAACACGATTGTCAGAAAATTGTTGAAGGCTGCAGTGCAACGCAGGCCTTCTGATATATATCCAAGTATGTATTCAAAGATCGGACTCGGTAGTAACGAGTTGCTCCAAACTGATAGTCTGACGGAAGATCATGTGTACTCAGAAAGCA